TATATATATATATATATATATATATATATATATATATATATATATATATCACTAGAGATGATTGAGCTCAAGAAAAAAGGTCTTTCATGGATAATAATGAAACAACATCACACAAACAAGGAGAGGCATCATTCAATTCGGTTTCCACAATTCACATGTCAAAGACTCTACTAGTGGGCAAAAAACCTTCTTCTACATGTGACATACTTCTCTCTTTTCATGTGAGTTTGCAAGCTAAAGGTTCGATACTTTTGCTAAGGTAGGGTTTGTACCTTTTTCTTTCTTTCTTTTTCTCTAGTAGTGCCCAACAATTGTGAGAGGGGAGTTATTGCATCCTCTCATCTAACAATTATATATTCATATTATTCTCAATAAAAGAAAAAAAAGAAGAAGAAAGGGTTTAGCGTTCATACGAGTAAGATCTCTTAAATTTCTTCGCACATATAAATTATAATTACCCTTGAATCAAATTTATTTTTTTGTCGATCTCATGGATACTATGTTGAGTGACTATATGTTGAATTTTCTTTTATAAAGATAAAAATAAAATATTAACACCTTCTACACATCAAATGATCAATGTATTAAAAAAATACAATAATAACAAAATCATAATAAATAAAACATTTAAGATTTAATTTAGAAATTTAGAAAATAACAATAACGAAGTCATAATCAGAGAAGAAAATAAAAAAAAAATCAAGACTTAACATAAAGACAATAAGCATAGTTATTTTAGAAACCTTGATTTTTCTACGTAAGCTTACTTAATATGTCATGTCATTTAAATTTTATACTATTGTATGATCATCTTTTTGATAACTTGACAAGTTAATCTCGATCCAAATCTAACTTATGTTAAGAGACTTGGTATTATTTTTTGAGATCCAATAAACTCATAATATAGTGTCGATCTCTAATTTACCCCCATCTCGTCCCCCCCATTTTGTATTAAGATCGACATCAAAACGTATAGTTCCTTCGAAGTTCAGTCATATCTCGAAATAAGTTAAGAAATATTAAAAAAAATATTCGATCTCAAATATATATATATATATATATATATATATATATATAATTTTTGGATCGTAATTGACGTGATGTACTTGTCATTGGCTCCTTCATCGTTTCAAGTGATGTGATTGTCACGTGTGGATCTCTAGACGTCTACAAGACAAAAAAATACTTCCGAAAGGTAGAGGACGCTAAAAAGAGCAGTAGTGCTACTTCTATCATCTATTGGCGTTTCTACGGATCATAGATTACGCTTTGGGCAGTGTGGTCATTGTAAGCGTCGAAGAGCCGGCAGGTATCCCGTGAGAAACGACAGTGCTTGTCTCTTTGCCCTCCTTTTCTATCCATAAATAACCTCTCCAAATCTATCATCCTCTCTCTCCCTCCCTTATCTTCTCTTTCCATCTCTTTCCTCTCTCATCCCGAGAACAAAAGGGTTCCGAGAAAGAGTCAGAGACCTGCACGTAAGTTTATTTCCTTTTCGATCTCTTTCATGGATGTTAGTGGCATGAATGCTTCCAAGAAACCCTGTCGTTTCTTCTCCATGTCGCAATAGTTATCGCCCGTCCGCGTCTTCTCAATGCATGCATATATGAGCTCGTCCGGGAATTTAGATTTCCTTTCCATCTCTGTCTCTTCGTTTCTCGATCTCAACGATTACAGGCTAATTCTTGAGAGGTAATGATACCGTACAAGCATGCACGAGACGAGTCTCATATAGTTCCCATGGCCGTGTACATAGTACCAAGCAAATGGGTCTCGAGCGACTGCGAGCGCAAGAAATAGAAACCAATTCTACGGAGAAAGAAGTAATCGATGAGAACGAAGAGCGCATCGCGAAGATGAGCTCGAGAGATTGTCGTTGTGATGAACCAACACGAGAGCTGCAATCTAATGAAGATGCCGTGGAGAGCAGTGCGGAGGAAGCATATGCTGCATGGATGGCAAGATTCGACCATGTCGACATTATTTCTATCGACTCTTTATGTGATTAATCGAGATCAAATGTTGTATAAATATGCAGGTGAAGCATCCTTCAGCACTCATCGCATTTGATCGAATGATGAGCATAGCAAAGGAGAAAATGGTGGTTGTCTTCCTCGATTACGACGGAACCCTATCACCCATAGTCGATGATCCTGATCGTGCATTCATGTCCGACTCGGTATATCGCAATCTTTGTTTCTCAGAATCGATATCGAAATATAATTTTTATACTTTTTTTTTTTTTTTGCTCGATACGATTTTTGTTGATGATTAGATGCGTTCCGCGGTCAACAAAGTAGCGCAATATTTCCCAACTTGCATCATCAGTGGAAGGAGAAGAGATAAGGTATGTAATTCACATAAGATCTCTTATGTATTATCCTAGCTAGTCTTTGTTATTGACATTTGTTATGATTTGGTCTTCTTCGCTTAGGTATATGAGTTTGTCAAATTGACTAATGTTTACTATGTTGGAAGTCATGGAATGGATATCATGGCACCATTGAAACCAGTTGATGAAATAGATTCTGCACTTCATGAGCAAGCAATCAAGGAAAAGGTAATGATGCATTTAGATAAATTGTATCATGCCATATGGTTGCATGTCAAGTTAAGAAACATGAACATTATACATGGAAGATCATTTAGATTAATTGGATGTACTCTTTTGGCACATTCAACAAAGGTTAGTCACTAACTCACTAAACATATGGAATGTTGAGTTCTAATTAATCATTCATTCCATGATACCATAGGGAAATGAAGGGGTCCTCTTTCAACCAGCTGAAGAGTATTTACCCATGATTGAAGAGGTACAATAACCATTATATATTGCTTATTCTTTCAATTATTGGTACAAATTTTTAATGGCTATTAATCATTTAATAATTTTCTTTTCTTCGTGTATATATATATATATATATATATATATATATATATATATATATATATATATATATATATATAGGTATACTCCGAGTTGAAGGAGAAGACAAAAGAAATACAAGGAGTATTAATTGAGAATAACAAATTTTGCATTAGTGTCCATTTTCGTCGAGTCGATGAAGAGGTTATTACTTATCATGTTTTTTACGAAATTTATTATTATTTTTTGAACTCGTTATTGTAATTACTAGCGATATAAAAAGAAAAATGAATTTTAGTTTATTTTGGCCTAATGATCAAATGTGGCATAGGATTGGAGTTTGCTTGAAAACCAAGTGATGGATACCATGAAGAACTATCCAGCTTTGCTCATCACAAGAGGTAGGAAGGTAAGTCACAAACTACTTGGAATCAGAGATTGTGACATATGTTTCCAACATAATTAATATATAAATTTATTTATTTTGTAGGTTATTGAGATCCGACCATCTATTAAGTGGGATAAAGGTCGAGCTCTTGAATATTTACTTGAAACCTTAGGATTTGGAAATAATGATGAAACACTTCCACTATATATCGGAGATGATCGAACTGATGAAGATGCATTTAAGGTGTCAAACTAAGCAAGTCCTAAGTTTATTCACTTTGTTTAGCTTAATATCTCATTAATACATTCATACATATACTCTTATATTATGTTCTTGTAGGTATTGCAAAGGAGAGGTCAAGGGTATCCTATCATTGTATCTTCTGTTCCTAAAGATACAGAAGCTTCCTACTCCTTGAGAGATCCATCAGAAGTCATGTCTTTCCTCTTACATCTTTTTAGATGGAAGAGAGACTCTTCCTAAATTGATTAGAAACAGTGATATTATATTTCTGTATGAGATAACAATTTTATGTATATATTATACATTTAAAAATAATTAGAAAAATATTTCTATATAAAAAGAGATTGAAAAAATAATTCTAAAAGAATAATCCTACATTGATAAGAATTAAAATGGACTTAAGGTTTTGATCCAATGAGTGTCAGCTCTGATATATATTAATCTCGAATATATATATATATATATAATCATTAGGTAGAATACTTCTAAATACTAAAATGAGAATGAGTAAAGAATAATGAGTATATTTTTTGAAAATATAAATCTAATTAAGAAAAGTTTCTAATATGAATTTAAAGATCGCGTAAATAACGTGATTTCACCGTGGGGAGCGCACTGGAGCTCACCAGTGGAGCCCGCTCGATCTGAGAGAGCCACGGTGGATGAGAAAGCTTTTGGGATGGAAGTTTGGTGACGGAAAACGTTTAACCTAATTAGTTGAACCGATGATAACTCGTGTCGCTCCCGACGCCGCTCACTCTTCGTACCCTTTGCGGCGTCCGCCGAGATCCCAGCCGAGCGCGCCGCCCAAACCATCCGATTCCACGGGCCGAGGTCCGCAGTAACCCTTCGGCTACCTACCGCCCCATGCGAGCACCGACCGTGGAGGTCTCGCCGCTTCAGCCATAAGACCAGGTAACCGCGTCCTCCCTCTCGCTCTACACCTCTAAACCCTCTTCCTTCTTCCTTCATTCTCCCCTCTCGCAGATCTCGTGACCGTGAGTTTTCGGCTTCTTGGATGTGGGATTTGGGCAAGTTGACGTCTTGAAAGCCGAATAATCGACCTAGAGGATGTCGAATAGCTCTGATCTGTTACGGTTGATTGCGATTTTTCCTTAGATGCATTTTCGTTCAACAAAATAACGTTCATCAACGCAGAGGATTACCAGAGAGAGGAGAGCGATCGATCGGAAGAGGAGGATAAAAGCAGCGATGCCTCTGTACGACTGCCTGTTCCTGGTGAAGCCTCACGTGCGGAAGGAGTCGCTGATGGACCTGGTGGCGCGCGTGGGGATCCAGGCTTACGAACGCAACGGTGTCATCACCGACGTCAAATCCTTCGGCACCGTCCAGCTCGGTTACGGCATCAAGAAGACCGATGGCCGCTATTACCAGGTATCTTTTATCGTACAGTTGCCCCATTAGCTCTGATAAGAATCCGATCTTCTTAGGATGCTCTCTGTGTATGGACATATGTGATGGTGCTTGTTGTGTTCGACAAAATGTCTACACACTTTCTCTTGCTAGATACTTCTCATATTCCCCAAAAAATTATATTTTGAAGACTAGCATGGTTTCTCTGTTCTTCATGTTGTTGGCGTTGTTATTTGAAATAGCTTTTTTAATGATCCACTTCCGTTTGAAGCTATTATTAATTTGCTACATCCCTTTTTAATCCCAATGTGTGATTTGGAAGTGTTCTTCTTTCTTCCTTTTGAATGTTTGGTGATCAGCTAGGTAACAGTCTGCTTTTACTAGTTGTTGTGATGATCCTTGAAGTTATTATAAATAGATCAGTTACCTAAAGTTGCATGGTTCGGTTTTGTGAGCCGTAAACTTTTGCCTCCTCTTAGTTCTGTCACGGATGTGGACTTCTACATGATTTATCAAAAATATTAGTGGTGCTTCTTACTAGTTATATTCCATATTTGTATAAGCAAAATCCTGAGGTTGATAAATATGTCTATAAGTTGTAGTTTTCATATTGATTCATCTTGTATGAGGCAACTTGCAAGCATATGCGACAAAACTAATTGACAACTGAGAGGTGTTTCTTTGATAATAAATGTCCAACTGGCCTTGTCAAATAACGAGATAGAAGCATGGATAATTTCATGATGGTCGAATACTTGAAAATGTTCAAGGACTCTACAAGTACTCACCTCCAGAAACCCTATTTTTAAATAATTCGAACTATGTGTTGCTATATACAGCTCGAGCACATGATTAAACTAGTTTTAATTCACACAGATCCGAACGAATGTCATGAGGCGGTTGTCGACAACATGTATTACATATTGACTTGATCGATTATGTGCATATTTAGAAATGTTCAAACCATTAGATTTGAACTTGGTGCTGGGAGTCAGAGTAGCATTTGACATATTGAATGAGTGTTGTGAGAATGGTGCAGCTAAACAGGCAGTTAATAATCTAGAATGACAGAAGATAGAAAGATAAATAATAAACTTCAATCTTTCTTAGATTATTTTCTGAATGTGGACAGTGCTTGGAAGTCAGAATAACCTGTCTCAACTAGTGTCTTTTTAAGGAGAGAGTCTGCCCTTTGGGGCATATACTGACATAAAAAGAGTCTCTCATGGAAAAATGTAGGAAAATTACTTTCTTGCATCTGGGTGTATTTCTTTCAAGGAGGGTCTGTCACATTCTCTGAAAGTGTGAAGCATTCCTTCAATATGCAAGCTCTTCGTCACAGGCCTTCCCAGGCCTAAACCCATTGCTGTAGTTGCTTTTAAGCTCAATATTGCTACTAACAGAGAGGTTGGCGGCAGCAAACGGCAGCAGCGGGGAGGTAGGCAGCGTTCGATGGCAGCCGAGAAGAGGGTTTGTGTTCGCAATCCCTGATTGAAGATTTTTACTTTTCTTTTATTTTTCTAATGGGTCTGACTGAACCACCGATGACAGGGGCGACCTGCATACTGGTCCATGCCCGGTATGTACTACCCATTTCATACTGGTCCGGGCAAAATGGCGAACCATGGTTCTTTCTCTATATGTTACCTAATATGAGACTGAGATGGAGCATGGACCCTTAGTAGTCTGGGAATTGGAGTCCTTGACCCTGGTGCAGTCATGGAAAGGGTCAAAAACTCAAAAACCCTGGTCTGGTCTTCCTCAGGAATCTCCCTTGACAGGAGATGATTTTAAACCTTAGGATCATCTGAAAGGGCTCATATCGAAGTTAGTGGCCAATCATGATGCACGAGGTGCATCAGAGGCTTGGACACTGACTTGGCTGGTTGAGCGCAGAGAGATCACGAACAAGATGCAGACATGGCTTTGGGATGCACAGGAATCAGTTGTATGTGGGGTGCACAGGTGACTTTCACATTGCCACTTTGTCAAAAAAAAAAAAAGGTCTTGTTGCTGGAAAATTGGAAGAAAATAGTCAGCCTAAAGAGGCCTGTTTTGTTAACACGATAGGTTAATATAAAAGATGACCAAACTACTTTTAAGAATCTCCTCCAGACTTCTTACTTCTGGCTGACCACAATTTTCACTTGTGAACTAACACACTGTCAGTACAGTTGCTAACATGCTTCCTCTGAGCATCGGTTGGAATGCCTGATAAATAGAGACCTTGTGACAATATGGGAATTACCTTTTCATTATGTTTGAAACCTCTATTCGGTGACTGAATTAGTAATATTTTTAAATTAGAAATAAATTGTAATTCATTTGAGAAAATCAGTTTTCTGGCTGAATTATGATTCACAAGTCCTTAATGAAGGCATACACAAGAATTTTCTCAACCTTGGTGTTGCGAGTACTTTCCAGGATCATATTATGTGATCAGATGTGGTTAGCTGTGGTTCCACAGAAATAAATCTTCATTTGCAATTACATGATGGTAAGTTCATAATTTTTACGTCGTTTTGGTTTACGTGTGCGATTGGGCTGTCTCTAGGAAGATTTTTTTTCCTTTTACCATGTGATGAAGCTATTAACATGCCAAACTTGCATATGATTATTTGGTAATAAAATTCATTCATAATTAAATTCTTCTGAAATATCTTGTAAAATTGTTCTTTTCCCCTTACACCAATGTGCTCAAAAACATGGTGCTTTGTCAGGGCCAACTCATGCAGATGACAATGATGGTCCCACCCACATTTAATCAGGAACTTCAGTACCTAAACAAGGAAGATCATCTACTGCGATGGCTTATCGTGAAACACAGGAATGCAGTATATGGACTGGAGTTTATCAATGAGGATGAGGGAAAGGATGAGCTGAGCATGTTCCGAAGTGGCAGCTTGTTCAACAAGGGAGAAAACGAGGATGACGATGACGATGATGACGACGGTGATGAAGAATATGACGTGGAATAGACAGCATGTTTTGTTGCCCGACGGTTAAGCTTTTCGTCGTACACCATGAAAATTTGAAGAATTATTTGAGTGGAGGTTGAAGAATCAGAAATAACATGTCCAAGACTAGTCCAGTTAATGCCATTAACAATTAAATCTTTGTCATATAACTGCTGTTCTACTACTGTTCACTAGTAGTTTTAGCATTTCATGTCCTCTCTGAGATTGCAGTTGCACCAACTGCTAGCTTCTGTTCAGTGCATATATCAAACTGGGTGAAGAGAGAGTTGCATAAAAACACATTGTTGTTCAAAATGTCACCATACAAAATAATACTAGGAGGTGGGTCACCTCTCCCCAAAAATGACAACCGATCCGTCTATCAAAACTGGCTAGGTTTTCAGCCAAAGAATTGTTGTTCATACAGTGGAGGTCAATTGGAGAATGTCTTGACATGGGTCAAAGGCGCTGAATTGGTAGAACAGCTTGGAGCTGGCTAATGCCATGAAGAAAATGTACTCGAGAAATATGTGTTTAATTGAATCTTGACTGGTAGATGGAGATATAGTTATGCAAACAGAAGCACCGGTAAATGTTTCTTGGTATGATTGTTCCATATAACTAGGGGTCGTCTAGACCTTGAAATCATTATATATATGAGCGGAAAGATAGATGGATACAATCAGTTATGCTTCCTTTAATATGAAGTTTGGAGCTGTCTTTGGATTGATTGGTTGGTCCACTGCATTCATGTCGAGTTCCGGAGATGAAAAGCTGGCTTACAGGTACCACTGCCCATGTTCTTACAACAGTCCATAGTCCATCTCCATCATTTGTCCTTCGTTCACTTGCCTTGTACACTTTCTTTTGTGATGGGCAGCAATCGTGCCTCGGGCTTACATCAAACTGTGTCAGCTGTTGCTGGATGCTTATCCAAACTAAACCATGCTGATCCGATGAACTCTATAATTGCATTCATGGCATGCTCGGAAAAAGCCAAGACGAAAGGAAGACACGCCCAAAAGCTCAAGGATTCGAATGGCTCGTGGCCACAAAACTAGGTAACTTTCACTGCTCATCGTGAAGCTAAAGCTAATCATAAAAAGTAAGCTTGTCCATCTTTTATTGTATGGTAGATGTTGGAATTGGGTGCATTAATAGGCCATGCAGTGATTTGGCATATGATGTGTTGGCTTGATCCAACATCGACATTAAAGGCTTGAGAATGTCGCTTACCCACTCTTATCATCATAAAAAAAACTAATATTATCGATCGATCGATCAATTATCATTCGACATGAATATACGATCCCCCCATGAAATCCAGATTAAAAGAATGAGATAGATGTTTACCCTCGTTAATCTATCCACATGGATATTCTTTGAAACCCTTCTATCTACATAAAATAATCTTCTCATTAAATCATGGCAGAGGAATCGATGTTGCCCATCGATTCTATATTCCTTGCTCTACCTCTCATGTGCTCGTCACAAGTAACAACACAAAGCAAAATGCTATACAATACACAAAGAACACTAAGAACTCCATGTAAAGTATTCTAACAAACATGGGTCCCTGTGCAAGGATGGCACGTACAAATCCATGGAGTTGCCCATGCTTGGCCTCTTGGATCCTTTGCCACAACCTGCACCTTCCATTGAAAGCTCACCCGCCACATGCAGAGATCGATGGCACCACAAGGAAGAAGAATTGGCTGCTATTGCACACAGTGACAGTGGTGGCCAGTGCCAGCCAGTACATGGAGTTTGCTCTCAGGAAATGCCAACGTAGAGGCAATCATCATCCCCTGCTTGTCTAGAGCTGGAAGCCAGGAGAAAGGCCCCATCATCCCCATACGACCATTATTTATGAGGGTATACCTCCACTGTCAGGGTTGCAGGCAAGGTAATGCAGGGCTGTCCTTGTGAGACAGAGCGAGCCCCTCTTTGATTTGACCCGGCAACAAGATTCCCAGCTCATTTCGCTCTCTGTGTCACATCTTTTTTTGTTGTTTTCTGTGTCCTAATCCATGAAATGTGAGAGCAGTAAGTATACTTGTAGCTTAATGAAAACTTACCATAAGGAAGAAGAAAAAGAGGCTTTTTTTAAGCTCCCTGGCCTCTGTTTCACTGACATCCTCAGCGCCGACACCGCACTGCTTCCTCTTCCATCACTTGGGAGTTTTTAGGCTTCGACCGAGTCTCCTTGGGTAAGCTCAGTGAGTCCATCTTCTGATTACGAACTCCAATCCTTGTAGTTTACTGCCCAAAGCTCACATTGTTATAGCTTCAGATACTGATCCAGAAATGAAGGAGAACTCATCTTGCTCCGTTGTTTGTTTTGATTCATAAGCTCATGTAATCAGCCTTCTTGCGCAGAAAGATGCAGCTGTTGCAAATTTTGGCGTTTCTGGCCGCGCTGCTGTCATCGTTACCGCATTGCAGGGCGGCGGAAGCGGTGGCGACGTGCGCCGGCATCGTCCCGATGAGGTGGCGGAGAGAGGTGGTATCGATTACCGAGTTCGGCGCTGTGGGAGATGGGAAGACTCTCAACACTTGGTCCTTCCACAAGGCCATATACAGAATCCAGCACCTCAGGAAACGGGGTGGTACTCTTCTCTACATTCCCCCAGGGGTTTGGCTCACAGGAAGCTTCGACCTCACCAGCCACATGACACTGTACTTGGCCAGAGGAGCCGTCATCAAGGCCGCTCAGGTATCTACGCAGTACATAGGAACGGAGATGAATAAAGAAGATTTGGATCGTGGCTTGTTTGGAGTCATCTGAGCGGGACTTGTTCTTGATTAGGTCTTTACATATGACAAATTTTATGCTTTGGAGATCCTTTCTTGGTGCAGGATATATGGAACTGGCCTTTGGTGGATCCTTTACCATCCTATGGAAGAGGACGAGAGCTTCCTGGTAGCAGATATAGGAGCTTTATCCTGGGGAATGGAATCCGTGATGTGATCATAACAGGTGACTCCTCCTCCTCTCTTTGAATCAGGAGATTCTGCTTATGGATCTTTCTCTGTATAGCTATATTTCCTCTGCAGATCATTCACATATAATTGTTTCTCTGCTATCAGACTGGATGAAAGAATTGTTCATCCAACATACTCCTGTGATCTTTGCAAGCTCACTTTGGACACAAAAACATTGAATCTAAAGTTCACCTTAGCAGCTTAGCATCGATTCAGAGTTGTCATCTGTTCATAGCTGTTTTATACTTCTTCAGAGATGTCTAATTCGTTAGCAATTCAATTCCTTTAAGTAAGCTATAAATGACAGATTGGTCAAAGCTGAGGGTGGCTTATGAACATTATATCTCGACTCGAATTATGTGAAGTGTAGTATTTATCCTGATCTAACTGGATTCTGATTTGCTAGTGTAATGAATCTTGCGTACAACAACAACAACAAAACCGTAAGTCCCAACTATTTGAGATGTAATGAATCTTGCATCAATAACCAAAAATCTTAGACATTATCACCTAAATCTTGCAAACTTGGTGATCAGGCCTTGCATTAGCTGAATGATTGTTTTTAATGAATCTATAATTGCATCTAACTTTCTCTTTTTTTTTTTTGCCAAGGCTTCTGTTAATTCATTTCTCTGTTTTCTGCAATCACCAATTTGCAAGTTCATCAGGTCATTTGACTAACATTTTTACCAGAGCTTTCACTTCAAGGAACGATGCATCTAGAATTACTTCCTTGATATCTTTTGCATTGATATCTCTTTTGTTATATGTATTTTTCTTAGAGATCTCAAAGTTCACAATAAAGAAATGCCCTGTAGTTCAGAATCTAGGCTTGGATCAAGGTGAACTATGGTTCTTGCTTTCCGAAGAGAAGGGAAACTGCCCGAATTGACTCTCTCTCTCTTGAGCAGTGGCCTAGATTTTCGCCTATATCACTTCATTTCATAAGTGGGAAACCATTTTGGCCATATTTGAGTAAGCTTTCGAGCCAATTGGAGTCCAGCTTTGCTCGAAACCAACCCGAGTGAAAGGGATGCGATAGAGAATATGCCCACCCTTTCTCAGTAAAATGGGGTACATGCTTATTTGATGCGGAAGATCCCTTAGGAAGCTTTTCGCAAGTCGTTCGTAGATTTCACATCAACACTCTTCTCGTTCAGCAGTTAACTATTCATAAGATGGTGAACATAAGCTCTCACTTTTCTCTCTTCTTTTTGTCCAATCTGGGTGTGTTCGAGTCAGTTGTTATGTGCAGGTCCTCTCATTGAACAGAAGAAATGTCTAACTTGTTCTGGAATCTCTATGACTTCTCTATTTGCTTTCGTTCCATAATTCTTGAGTTGATTCACATCATCCTTATTATTTGTTCTGCTTTCCCAGGAGAAAATGGAACAATTGATGGTCAAGGTGATGTCTGGTGGAATGAATGGAGACAAAGAACTCTTCTTCACACAAGACCAAATTTGTTAGAGCTAATGAACTCCAGGGATGTTCTTGTTTCCAATGTGGTGTTTCTCAACTCTCCTTTCTGGAATGTGCACCCTGTTTATTGCAGGTAACCATGAGCAAACAAATTGCTCTCATAGCATGTATGATATGAATGTTTTGGTAGCTTGATTGAGAGCTGCAGTCAATTGATACAGCTCAATGACCTCATGAACATAAGCTAGAAACATGAGCCATCACAAACCTTTTAGATTGCTTCCTACCAGTTGCTATCTGAAGCTGATTTATGATCTCCTTTGATTCTACTATTACATTTCAGGCTTTGCCCTTTGATTCATATAACAAGTCTAAGCTTTGTTCTACTATAATATAATCCTTGGATGCATACATATCAAGCTTAGCTTTGCACAATTGTAATGCTTCTGCATCTAACCTAACATCTTTCTTGCAGCAATGTGGTGATAAAGCATGTGACTGTGTTGGCTCCATCTGACTCCCCTAACACTGATGGAATTGATCCTGGTATGCTTCTCTCATACGTTTAAGTCTCAGCCTCTAGTGCTACGGAACAAAATGAATAAGAAGGATGATTCCTTTGATGATGTTTTTGTCTCCATCTTCATGAACTTTGCTTCCATGACTTAGATTCTAGCTCAAATGTCTGCATCGAGGATTCCTTCGTCGCAACTGGGGATGATCTGGTGGCTGTGAAGAGTGGCTGGGACGAGTATGGAATTGCTTACGGCCGTCCAAGCTCTGGCATCACGGTGAGAAGGCTCACTGGCTCCTCACCCTTCTCCGGCATCGCCATCGGAAGCGAGACCTCAGGAGGGGTGGAGAACGTCTTGGTGGAGAACATCAACCTCTACGACGTTGGCATTGGAATCCACATCAAGACCAACGTCGGCAGGGGAGGCTACATCAGAAACATAACCATCAGCGACGTCAACATGAACAACGTTCGGAAGGCCATCAGGATCGCCGGCGACGTCGGTGACCACCCCGACGAGAACTTTGATCCCAACGCAGTCCCGACGGTTGATGGAGTGACGATCAAGAACGTGTGGGGTGAGGAGGTTGAGCAGCCGGGATCCATCGAGGGCATCAAGAACTCGCCTTTCACTCGGGTATGCCTCTCCAACGTCAAGCTCTGGGGCGTCGGGGCCTCGCCGTGGAAGTGCACGGACGTCACTGGGGCTGCGCTCGGAGTCAACCCAGGGCCATGTCCGCAGCTCACCAGCAGCTTTGCAATGAGCTATTGCTCGAATGATTTCTAATGTTGGGAGTGCTCTGCGGTCATCTTGTTCTTCAGATCTTGAAGATGACCACAGTGCTACAGAACAATATGTACATGATTTGCCAAGGAAGTCTCGACTTTGCTGGAACTGTTTCAGCAAATCAGCAGCAGTGTTCGGCATGAAGATTCTGAAGGTAATATAAGCAACTGTGTTAATCTGTTCTTCCGATCGCGTCATGTTCATTTATGTCGTCTCTTTTCTTTGAGAATGATTGTTCACTCTCATCGTGTCTACCGCTTGTCGACTACATTCACTCGAGTATGGAGATGCATCATCTTCTGAAAACATCACCAGCCAGAAACATTCCAAAGAAAACAAAGAACAATTATTGGAAGAAGATGATACAAGATCAAACATGGAACGTTTTATCAACACGGAACAGGTACGGATTACTAGTAGATGATACGACACAGAAGAAACAGATCATGTCATGCTGATCTAGGAAAACACACAAGATAAGATGGAACATTGCAGTAAGCTGCTCCCAGCTTGTCTCCAGCACCGGTGGAGGTCTACCTACAGCTCCAAGCGATTCTTCAGCTCCCGATACCACTTCATCCATCCCTCACCCTCTTTCTCCTGCTTGTGCTTGCTCTTCTCTTTGTCCTTGTTCTTCTCCTTCTCCTTGTTCTTCTCCTTATCTTTGTTCTTGTTCTTCTCCTTTTCCTTATCTTTCTCCTTGTTCTTCTCCTTATCTTTGTCTTTCTCCTTGTTCTTCTCCTTATTCTTCTCTTTATCCTTGTTCTTCTCCTTATCTTTGTCTTTCTCCTTGTTCTTCTCTTTATCCTTGTTCTTCTCCTTATCTTTGTTCTTGTTCTTGTTCTTCTCCTTCTCCTTGTCTTTATCCTTGTTCTTCTCCTTATTCTTCTCTTTATCCTTGTTCTTCTCCTTCTCCTTGTCTTTATCCTTGTTCTTCTCCTTATTCTTCTCTTTATCCTTGTTCTTATTCTTAGTCTGAAGCTGCAGCTCCTCTTCTCCTGCCTCCTTTACCTCGTCTGAACCTGAATTCAAGTCGTCATCTTTCTTCTTGTACTCTTCGCCCCCACTATGGTCAACCTCCTCTGTTCTCTGCCACCCGTCAGCAGCCTTCTCCCTGCCTGTCTTCGCCTCACCGCCTGCTTCCCCGTCCTTCGCGTGGACCGAAGCGATCACGCCGTCTCCGTAGGGAACAGCGGCGCCGCGGTGACGGTAGCGGCGGCGGGAGCCATCTGCAGAGAGGGGGGCATCAATTTCGAAGCGGGGGACGGTGGCCGTGCGAAGGCCGCCCTCCGGCTGGTCGAGGTCTCCGGCGGCGGAGAGGGGAAGGGCGAGGCGGCCGGCATGAGAGAGGAGGAGGAGAGTGGAGAGCAGCGATAGGATGAGGCTGGTGGCGCATTCCATGGATCTGCGACGGGAATGATGGTGGAGTCGTTGTGTTTGCGTATGACAGGACAGCAAAGCGAATTAAAATAAGTATGCAGGGATCAGAAAAGTAAACAAACAAGTTCTCATCGTCTCCGCCACCTCTCGAGGGACGGAAGCGTCGGGATAAAAGCAGTGGACTCCTCTCCTGGTCCAATGCAGATGAGGGGGGTCACATCTTGGACCAGTGGGTTGCAGGTCATCGAACAGTGAGGACGAACTCCACAGATGTGGACAGAAACATACGAGAAATTAGTGAAAGATCATATCGAAGATATCAATGAAAAGCTAGCAATCCTCCGAGTTCCATTATTGCTACTTAGCATCCAGACGAGGACTCCTCTCTCCATCTCCAGTACAACAGTGACTGAGCCCGTGAACAGAGATTCCATTGTGTGCCGCTGTAGTTATCGTCATTAAGGTTGCTCGATCATTTCATATAAGCACGAGTGAGGAGCGCTAACATTTCCACAAACACATCGTTTGGTATTAAAAGCAGAACAGAGAACGTATTGGGAAACGTCAAACACGATACAAGCAGTTGATCCACTCGGACAAAAGAGCACAAACACTTTTCGTACACACACCTGTTTACGAACACAAGAACGGAAGAGGGCTGAGCAATACATCAAACACTATACATGCATGCCTGACGCCCGTCCTCGTCCAAATCCATAAGTCCATGCAGCGCCATAGTCAACTTACTTAGATATGGAAGCGCTTCCAGAGGCCCCAAAGCCATTGCGCCAAGCGACCTCCATCTTCTTCTTCCTCGTCGTCTGAATCGGAGTCGGAGTCCGAGTCCGAGTCCGAATCAGGCTCTTCTTCTCTTTCTTTCTTGGTCTTGTATTCCTCCCCCTTGCTCTCCTCCGTCCACTTCGGCGCCGCAACCTCCTGCGGTCCCTGCTTCCCTTCCGCCTCCGCTACTGTCTCTTGCTCTTCCTCCTCCTTGACCACTTCGGCGTTCGATTCCCCGTCGTTGGCCGGGACCGATAAGATCATGTCGTCGCCATAGGGGACGACCACCTCCTCGTCGCCGGCGGCGCGGCTGAGGCGGACGCCGAATTGGGAGCCGTGGCGGTACTGGTGGATGATGGGGCGGTGGGTGAGGTCGATGGTGCGGAAGGCATCGCCGGTAGCGGCACCATCCTCGCGTAACTTTTCAACGGGGAGGACGGTGGCCGCCTGGCGGGAGTCTTCAGGCCGCTCACGGTCGAGCTCCGCGACGTAAGAGGCGGGTAGGGTAAGGCGGGTGGCGGTGGAGAGAAGGAAGAGGGTGGAGATGACGGAGAGGACGACGGCGATCTTGGCTACGCCCATGGCTCCCAGCGATCGTAGACCTTACTTACACACGCGAGGGATGATGGCCGAGTCAAAATAATCTGATGTCAATTTGGTCAACCGTGTACAGCTAATAGATGTAAGAAAATAATTCCTACTAATAAAATGGGTTGATACAATAATTCCTACCAGTAAAGGTTCTTAGCATTCTTCTCTGGCAGCCGCCTAACAGGGGATTCCTCCTCATGTTGACATGTTCTGCAACCTAACACATGAATCAATCGTCAGCCACTCTGGCCATGCCAAATGCACAAAGAACAACGTAAGACAATGTTGATGTAAACAACTTTGTGCCGTGTCGGCCCCGGGTCGAATGACGGGGATCTTTGCTCGGAGTTTCTTGGGGCTGTCGGAGTGACCGACCGCACAGACCGGACCACGCCTGGGATCGTCGGGATACCCTAGGGGAAGGCGCCTTCTCCTTGCGTCCCGGGAAAATCACCTCGTCTCCTTACCTGCACACAGGTCGGGTCGGAAGCTCGGCCCGACCCCTCCGATGATCAAGTTAGATGATGTGGAGTGAGGTTTATTGTCTATCTTCCTCTCTCTCTCGGGTTCGTTCAGAGCGCGAGAGTATTTATAGGGAAGCTTGTTGTTGTTTGATGTGCCCGCTTGCAGGGGCAGATGGTAGTGTCTGACACTGGCGTTGCGTGACGTGAAGAGCCAAGCCTGAGTGGGCGTTAATGTGCCTCGGGCTGTGTTTCGGTCCGTTTGACCGGGTGCCGTTACGTTGTTCGAGGCGTGAGGCGTTATCTAACGTCGACCGGGTCTTATCATAATTACTATCCCCATCAAACAACAAAACAAGTCACTATTAATTAAACTAAACCATAAAAACGGGAATATTTTGCCGAAATATACAGCTCTTTCTTTCATGGAATCATTGGCGGCGAGGACTCGATATGAGCCGCGTCTCAATTATGTGGAACCTTCTCGATCATGTGGATGCACTTACGAGTAGGGAGGTGCACATCGATCAGTACTTACACTATCATCCATCCGACCGAGTCTCCGGCAGGCGGCGGCTTTCTGTGCGAATCTTGAGGCAGGGAATGGGCTTGTTGGGTGATTTAGTTAGTCGGAAGCAATCATATCATTTTTCATCCTCGCTCTCTCTCTCTCTCTCTCGCTCTCTCACTCAGAGATGAGCCTGACGCGTGCTTTACAGCATCATCTCTCTCTCCTTCGTGTATATAACACGATGGAAGGGAGAGGACTCACCTCATCCTCGCTCGGTTACATTGGCTTGTACAGGTCTCAGTCGTGTGCGATACTCGAGTCTTGTTCTGGTAGCCATGGAGGACAGCAACGGAGCAGCTGCTGCTACGAGGTCGCGGCGTCCTCACGTGGCGCTGCTGCCGACGCCCGGCATTGGCCACCTGATCCCCATGGCCGAACTGACCAAGCTCCTCGTCGCCCGCCATGGCTTCTCCGTCACCATCATCACCTTGGCCATCTCCGCCTCCACGGCCCAGGCCACCCTCCTCTCCTCCCTCCCCCACTCCGTCTCCTCCCTCGCCCTCGCCCCCGTTCCCCTCCACGACCTCCCTCCCGACGCCAACATTGAGACCACCATGGCTGTCGCCATAGTCCGCTCCCTCCCCGGCCTCCGCGACGCCCTGTCCCGCCTACGATCCTCCGACAACCTCGTCGCCTTCGTGGCCGACATCTTTGGCACCGACGCCTTCGATGTCTCCCGCGAGCTCGGCGTCCCGCCCTATCTCTTCTTCCCCACCAACCTCCTCACACTCTCGCTCCTCCTCCACCTCCCCGAGCTCGACGCCACCACCAGCTGCGAGTACCGGGACCTACCCGCGCCGCTCCGCCTACCGGGCTGCTTCCCCATCCCCGGACCGGACCTCCTCCAGCCGATCCAGGACCGGTCCAACGACGCCTACCGGTGGGTGCTCCACCAAGCGCGCCGGTCCTGGGAGGCGGAGGGCATTCTCGCCAACACCTTCGATGCTATGGAGCCGGAGGCCGCAAATATCCTCCAGCAGACCGTACCGGGCCGTCCGCCGGTTTACCTTGTCGGGCCGCTGACGCAGTCCGGGAAGAACGAAGCCGACGAGGGGGCCGAGTGTTTGCGGTGGTTGGACCGGCAGCCAAAGGGATCGGTGCTGTTCGTGTCCTTCGGCAGCGGCGGAACGCTGTCGATGGCACAGATGGCGGAACTCGCTCTGGGGTTGGAGCTGAGCGGGCAGCGCTTCCTGTGGGTCGTCAAGAGCCCGAGCGACGGCGGGGACGCCAGCGAGGCATACTTCACCGTCCAGAGCAAGGAGGACCCGTTCCGGTTCCTGCCGGCGGGGTTCGTGGACCGAACGCGAGAGGTGGGCCTGCTGGTCCCGTCGTGGGCGCCGCAAGCGGCGGTGCTAAACCACGCCGCTACCGGCGGCTTCCTGAGCCACTGCGGGTGGAACTCGACGCTGGAGAGCGTGAAAGCCGGGGTGCCGATGGTGGCATGGCCTCTGTTCGCAGAGCAGCGCCAGAACGCGGCGATGCTGGCGGAGGGCTCGAGGATCGCGCTGCGGTTGCCGAGGGCGGAGCAAGGGATCGTGTCGCGGGAGGACGTGGCGCGGGTGGTGAAGGAGTTGATGGAGGGGGAAGAGGGAAAGGCCGCGCATCAGCGGGTGGCGGAACTCCGGGAAGCTTCGGCCAGATGCCTGGAGGAAGGCGGCGCCGCGTACACGGCGCTTGACGCGGTGGCCAACAAGTGGAAGGCCACGAACTAAGCTACTTACCAACGTCAATTTCTCATTGCTTGGTTTCTTTCTTTGGTTTTGTCTCATCGGTCGTGTCTGTCGCCTTCGACCGTGTTGGAGTGCGTACTCCCTATTGAATCACATGCAGCGATCTGCTTCTAACGCACGAGGCTGTTCAGTGTGTAATAAACACATTATCTGTCAGTGTAACCCATGAATCGATGTGAGAAAGCACGATGGTGTCATGAGCAGTAGCGGAAACATAATTACAACATCTCCGTCAGAAACACAACACAGATAACGTGTTGATGAGAGGAAGAATCTGACCACAATGAGTAAACAGGTCTCTACGAAACTATTTGACTTGCAGGATAATTTCATCATTCAACATAAACATAATGGAAGCAGTAGAACACAAGAAGGGCAGTGTTCAACAAAGACAATTGAACATAACAAAAGTTCAGGACTCATGTTCGGGAGTAGTGGTCTTGCTGGCCATAGCGACAACTTTGCTGTACTCCTCTAATTCTTTCTTGTATGCATTTATGCCTTCTGCTGCTTTCTCGTTCCATGTCTGCCTCTCAGCTTCACCCAAGTCCTGTAGCAGCAAGCAAGCAGTGTTGAGAAACACACCAAAACGCACTTCATCCATGGAGAATTAGATGATTATTACCTTCCATTTCACTGAAACCATGGCGTTCAAAGTGGAATAGGCGATTCCCGGATGTTCCTCCATGAGTTGCTTCCTTGCTTCTTTGCTGGAATACGGAATGAAATGAGTTAGCCTCAACTATATACATGAATACCTGAAGGACATAAAACTCCAGCATCATATCCAAACCTGAAGAGAAGGAAAGAAGAGGGTGGCTTCTTTGGCCTGTTAGGATCTGCATTCTGTTCTTCCTTGTTTTTCTTCTTCTTGTGACGGTCCTCCTTCGTTTTCTGTTCAAGATTTCAGTAAACATTACCCAATGGAGTTTATCATACGGAAAACAGAAACCCTCGAGCATGAAAGAAAAATGAATTCAACCTTAATTATATTCTCTGTTTTCTCCTTCTTCTTCAACAATTGAAGGGCTTCCTGCTTTCGAACTTTCCTTTGCTCCTCCTCTTCCTTCTCTAATGTCGCAGCTTCCTGATTCGTACATTGAGTTAGTATTATCTTAGTTTAGATTTTTGAGCTCTGGAAACATTAGTTTCTTCTTACCTCGAGCTTTCTTTGCTTGTAAAGCTCCATTTCCCGATTATAATCTTCCTTCTGTTTCTTAGCAACCTGTGGGAACGTACCAATGTATGAGAGAATAAAGCAACAATTAAAAGTTATTTCTCCACTGTTGGCTGCAGAAAGGATCGATTTTTTTGATACCTCCTCATAGGGTGCTTTCTTCTCTCCAGTCATGTTCTTCCACTCCTCTCCTGCTATCTTAGAGATCTGAGGTTGATACATAACATGAGATTCACTGGGTAACTGCAGATTGCTACTAGGTTTTAGGTTCTGTAAGCTAAGTATTACCTCGAGGACATTTTTGTTCTCTTGTAGCAGAGCCTCGCGTCGTTCTTTCGAGAAGAGGAAGAAGGCTGACATGGGTTGCTTTGGCTTCAAAGGATCTTTCTCCTTCCTGAAGGAAAATATGACACTGGATCAGTCATAAAGACTAAGAGAACCAAGAATCTTGATATAACATTTGACCTTCAAAGACAGGAAAAAGAGATTGTAGAGATGACAATACCTCGGTTTATTGCCCTCTTTATCGGCTTCCTGTAATACATAATGGAACAAACCTTGATCAGCTTCTGCGGCACCAGCAAAAGACCTTGAATCCATATCATTTTTCTTACGAGAAACTGACCTGTTTGAACTGCAGATACTGTTCGAGCAACTCCATGGCTGTCTTTTGCAGCTGCTCTTCCTCCAGCAGTTTCATCGCCTCGTTCTCGCGCTTCTCCTGCTTCACCACCTGCAAGTAGGCCTCTTTCTCTTGCTGGTACTTGTCTTCGTAGGGCTTCTTTTCTTGGGCGCTCAACGCCTTCCATCTCGCTCCCAGCACATTGGAAATCTCTTTGAAATCTGCATCAGGGTTCTCTTTCTTGGCTTCGTTCCACTGATCTTTGCACCATGAGATGTATGCCGGACACGGCTTCTTGGTCTTCTCGACGCCGGTCTTGTTCTTATGATTCTTCTTCTTTTCGTTCTTTTCTTGATCTTTCTCTCTCAGAGACTTAACCAGAGGAAGGCTCTGTTCGAAATCAACAAGAGCAGAAAAACCCCCTGAAACCCTAGTCCTAAGACGAAACGAAAAGAGACATACAAATTTAGTGAAGGCGCATACCATGGTTGGCTTGAACTCCTTCAATTTCTGGAGTTTCTTGAGCTCATCCTGCAGCCGCTCCTGTTCCTTGCCACGGTTCTCGATCTCTTCGTCCTTCTGCTTCAGCACCTCATCCCGTTGCTTCAGGAGCTCCTCCGTTTTCTCCTTCTCCAGCTGAAGCATCTGCAGCTGCCCCTGCAGTTCTTGCAACTCGTCGGCGAAGGACTTGCCAGTCGCCTTAGAAGACTTGGGCTTGGGAGGGACTTTCTTGGAGTTCTTCGGCGAGAGGAGCTGAGAGAGCCCGTCTCGGCTCTCCTTGCCAACTTCCCCCAGCGGGGACGAGGATTCGCCAGCGGGGATATTGATGTCGCTCGGCGACAAATTCTTCAGAGCCTTCCGGCTCCTCCCTTTCCTCTGAACTGCCGCGGCTGCCATGGCTAACGGAAGGGAAGAGAGAAGAGGGAGATGAAGATGAGGGCAGAGGAAAGACGGTGGAGACGGACTGAAGGATGTTGGGGGTTTTTGTAACGGTCAGACACAACGGTACTATTATTCAAAATTCAAATCGAGTGTGAGGCAGAATTGAGAACTATTTCGGTTCCGCGGGCGCGAAATTGGACGGACTCGACCGTTGGGTCTTCGAACACTTCCCAGGGGAAGTGATCAAAATTCACGAATCACGAAGAGGCAATTGACCCATGCATGTTAACATGGTTGACGTTGAGAGACGTTGTTCGTTGACATTATCTTAGTTTTGTTGACCATATCATATGTCACGTTGCAGTGATGGTCAAATTGTGACTCCTGCAAGATATTTATTTTGATCACAACTTAATGTACCTTAATTTAAAATTAATAGAAATAAAATTTTGGCATCATTAAATTGAAGGAATATTTGAACGGTAGTAATATTATTCACCGTCGCAATAGGGACACATATTTCATTTATAATTATTATTTTTCTTGATAGGTTAATCAAAATTTGACTTCCTCGATTTTATGTATAAAGCTTCAAATGTTTTAAGTTTGCTTATTCACACTCTCATGTTTCTTTTTATAAAATCATAAATTTATATAAAAGTATTTTTATTAAAAAAATTGTTTAAAATTTTATGTGATAAATGTATACCATGGTTCGAGGAAACATAATTAGTGTAAGTATTTTGGAGACAATAAGTTGTTAAATTTTGATCAATTCGATATGGTCCGAATCTATATACACAAAGTTGTCGAATATACGCAAAGTTGTTAATATTTTGATCAATTCGATATGGTCCCGATATGTTATTTGCATAAAGACTAAGGTCGAGAGAGGTTTCTCGACTCGCTCCCTCCGACACCTAAGTTAGCAACTCGAGGTATATGAATGTAAATGTAAGTAGTTAAAAAAGGTAACCCCTTATTCATTATGTTGAAGATGAGTTTTTATATCTAATCGTAAAAGAATAATATATTCTATGAAATAGGGTTAAAGTTTATTTTAGCCCTTGTAGTTTTGACCATAAACCATTTAAAGACCTTATGGTTTACTCATGTTTAAAATAAAAAACGTAACATACAAACCCCTCCTATCAAGTTTGAGTAAACAAATGTTAGAGTTTACTTACGTGTCATACTAACTCATAATAAACTATTAATATAATGACATATATAATTTAAATAAAATATATATCTATTTTAGCACATATGATTTTAGTCATGTACTACTTAATCCCTTATGGTTTTGTTCGTGTCTAAAATAACTCTTATATTTTAAAAAACGTAACATATAAGCTCATGCATCAAGTCTGAGTTGATGAAGCAATAGAGGCCGTAGGAAGAGAGGAAAAGATAGGAGAGGTCGGAAGTAGAGGTGAGAGAGAGTTGGACCACCACCTCGTAGGTGTGATGGATTGGGCCATAGGAGAGGACGAAGTGAGAGGCAATGGACACAAAGACGCTCAGGAGGAGGAAGAGGGACTAGGAGACCATTACATCATGCCTAATGTTGGACTAGTCAATGCACATCCACTTGAGGTAGGATCGGAAACTCTTAAACTTATCATTAGCTCGATAGATGTTACGTTCATACAACATCCTACTAGGCAATAATGGCTTAGTGTTGTTGCTAGTGGTCACTTCTACGATGATGCCTCCTCCCACCATTAATGGTGGTCTTGATTTTTTTTAATTTAAATTAATATATTATTATATTAATGATTTATTGTGAATCAGTATGTCATATAAACAGACTCTAATGTCTATCAACTTAGACTTGATGGGAGGGACTAATATACTATAATGAGAGGGACTTATATGTTATATTTTAAAAAATATAAGAATTATTTTAGATATAAACAAAATAATAAGGGCTTAAGTAGTCATGACCAATATTACAAGGGCTAAAATAGACCCTTTTTAACTTAAATTATACTAATATTATATTAATAGTTTATTATGAGTCATTATGTCACGTAAGTAGACTCTAACGTCTATTAACTCAGACTTGACGGGAGGGGCTTATATGCTATATTTTTTAAAATATATAGGTTATTTTAAATACGAGTAAACCATAGGGGCTTAAATAATCTATGGCTAAAATCATATGGGTTAAGATGAACCTTAACCCCTATAAAATATTCTACGGGGAGACAGCCTCTAACCATTTCCAATGGCCTCTTCATCCAACATGTGACTACCTACCTTAGACCTTTATCCACATGGAAAGATAGGTGGAGGGTGGCCTCCGTCCTCTCCTTCTATCCCGGATACCATGTAACAATTATATGTCGAATTAAGATTAATTGATGGTATATTCCCTATCATTTATCCTGCCCCTCGTATTGTTGAGGGACACACTTTGGTTGGACGAAGTCAGGTTTTCCAACCTTCATACCTCAGGCGAAGGATAGAGTATGGTTTCCTGACCTCCCCGTCTTTAGTGAAAGTAAGGGTCAGGCTTCCCAACCTTTATGCCTTGGCATAAGGCAAGGGTTGAGTTTCTTGACCTTCATATCTCGATGAAGTAGGGGTCAAGCTTCTTGACCTCCATGCCTTAACATAAGATGAGGGTTGGATTTCTTGACCTCCCTAGATGGTTATGAGTTCAACCCTCATGGTGGACGTCACTTCGTCTTTAGTGAAGGTAGGGGTCGGGCTTCCCAACCTCGATGCCTTGGCATAAGGCGAGGGTTGGGTTTCTTGACCATCATATCCCGATGAAGCGAGGGTCAGGGTTCTTGACCTCTATGCCTCGGTCTAAGGTGGGGGTTGGGTTTCTCGACCTCCTTATGTGGTTGTTGATTCAGCCCCCATGGTGAGCACCACCCTATCATTGACGAAGGTAGGGGTTGGGTTTCTTAACCTCCCCGAGTGGTCATGGGTTCAACCCACTGTGGGGGCCACCTCGTCTTTGATGAAAGTGGGGGTTGAGCTTCCTGACCTCCACGCCTCGATGTAAGGTTGGGGTCAAGCTTCTTGACCTCTATGCCTTAATGTAAGGTGGGGGTTAGGCTTCTCGACCTCCCTACCTCAGGCAAAAGTAGGTATGCATCTCTTTTTTATTATGTAGAGACCTCGTTTCTACTTGAGGTACTTGCATCTTTTTTTTTTTTATTGGCCTCCAAGCCGATGGGTCGAAACTATATCTCCCTACTTTGAGTATTTTTTTCCCTTGTCTCTCATTATGACAGACTTACTCTCATGCAGGTCTAGTTTTGCCTCCTATCGTAATGGACTTCTTACAAGGATTGAGTTTTTTTTACTCATGCGCCTAGGGTATATTTTTTCTTATGCCTCCCGCTATGGTATGTTTCTTATTATACAGTTTTTCTGACTCACATACCTCGGGCATATTTTATTTTGTGTCTCTCATTATGGCGGGTTTCTTCTTACGTGGGTCGAGTTTTCCCAACTTATGCACCTTATGCATATTTTGTCTTATGTCTTCTGTCATGATGAGTTTCTTCTTATGTGGGTATGATTTTTCCGACTCATGCGCCTCAAGCCATTTTGTCTTGTGTCTCTCATCATAGTGGGTTTCTTATTATATGGGTTATATGTTTTCGACTCATGCACCTTGGCCATATTTTGTCTTGTGCTTCTCACCATAGCAGGTTTCTTATTACGTGCGTTAGGTTTTTCTAACTTACACGCCTTGGGCACATTTTATTTTATGCCTCCCGCCGCAGCGGGTTTCTTCTTATGTGGGTTAGGTTTTTCTGACTCACACACCTTAGGTATATTTTATCTTATGCCTCTAGCTGTAGTAGATTCCTTCTTACAAGGGTTAGATTTTCTCGACTCACACGTCTCGAGTGCTTGTCGCTGTGCCAGGTATCTTATTACGTGTTAGGTTTTCCTAACTCATGCATCTTAACTATATTTTATCTTGTGCCTTCCTCTATAGTAGGTTTCTTATTACGCGGGTCGAGTTTTCCCGACTCATGCACCTCAGACATATCTTATTTTGTGTCTTCCACAGTAGTAATTTCTTTATTATGCTAATTGGGTTTTTTCGACTCGTGTACCTCAGGTATATTTTGTCTTGTACCTCCTGTTAGCTTGCATGACACCTATGACTAGCACCTCATGTAGTAGTTGGCTTCTTATTACATGGGTCGAGTTTTCTCGACTCATGTATTCACACACATTTTTTTCTTATGAAGTGTTGGTCTTTTTTAAGTCTTTGAGTCTGCCTACCTGACTTAGTCTATATGTTTGTTCTTTTCTGCATCGTTCGACTCATCCACCCGAGTAGTATCCACCTAGGTAGGTCAAGGCATCATTTTGGATGTAGAGGCCTAATCTAATTGGTGTAGTCTTTTTAAGTAATGAAACTTTCTTTTCTTAACTTGCAACATTTATATCTTGAAAATATTTTTTTTATAATAGCACCAAAGACATTGTAGATCAAGGCTTGATGCTCAGGTTATAGTCACCCTGACCTAACCCCAAGGGATGCATTACAGGTATATATTCTTTAAGTTTGCAATGCGTCATGTCCTTGGAGGCACCACCTCTTTAAGGACAGGAGGCGAAAATTCACTGGAATCAGTTCCTCTTGGATTTTCTGGGTGAACGATAATTAACCCAAGGTGGGGTCGACTAGTGCTTCCCCTTTTAATTGTTAGAACTCTTGTAACATCTCCTTCAAATGTTGATCTATCTGCATAGTTAGATGCATAGAGAATCCTCCATTGAATCCACCGATTGAGTCTCAGATTCAGGTAAGATAGAGTTGGTATTGAAGTGTCCCCTCGGCTAGCGGTTTGATGGATCTCAAGTGCTCTTGAGATATCAGTACTATGTTGGGTGGGGTAACCTTGATGGGTGATGATGGCATCGCTTGTTGGGCTAACTAGAGCAAAAGTAGAGCAACAACCTATATTATGCACATTACCATTTATATTTACTGAGCGAGATTCAATAATTTCTCGATGAGGATGAGCAAGTGGTCAGGGTCATCCCTAGGGTGAGAGACTCGGGTTGTAAAATAGATGCATGTATTGTATTGACGTTTGTACCGAGGTGGATGTGTCCATATGTGAAAAAAGGTGGCTACTGCCCTCTTGGGTGAAAGTACTATGGGTCGGGAATAAAGTATCCATGCTTGAGTGTTCATTGAGAGGGTCGATGGACGGGTGTTACTATTATATCGATCTCTCCTTTTAGTGTCGAAAATATCAAGGGAAGAAGTCATTGACATCCTGGTCAGCCCGAAGTGGTCCAAACCTATATGCACAAGGTTATTTGAGGTATTTCTGAGGTGAAAACATCAATCTCCCGAAATACCACCTATATGAAGACCGACTTCGGGAGAGGTTTTCCGATTCGATCAATTTGACACCCAAATTAGTAACCCGAGATATATGAGTGAGGACTCGAATGGTAAAAAAAAAAAGGTAACCCTCTATTATTGTGTTGAAGATAAACCTTTATACCTCATCATAAAGAGAAAATATTTTATGGAGATATAGTCTTTAGTTGTCTCTAATAACCACTCATTAGCCTTTTGTTCAAGTAGGCGATAAGAGAGGGACGACTCATAATCGTTTGTCTCGGACCCTTGTCTATGTGGGCAAACGAGTAGAGGACGGCTTCCATCCTCTTTTTTCATTCCGAACACTACATGATGGTCACATGTCGAATGAAAATTAGGTGATGACGACGTACTCTCTATCAAGTTCAAATTTAAAATTTTATATAAATTAGTTTGAGAAGTTAAACACAATAAATCTAAGAAGAGATATAAAAGAAAAAATTCGGTATAAAAATTATATAAATTTTTTTAATAAGTAAAGATAAAAACTTTTATGTACCTTGAATACTAATCCGTGAGATCATCGGTAACCCTCTAAAAGAGAGTGATAGTCTTGAGAAATATTCCTCCAACAAGTTTCTTATGGCTAACCCAATTTTAGTAAGATTTAGTTCTTTTAGCACGTTCTCTCGTTCATATCTTCGTTTAATTCTTTCATACAATTATATATATATATATATATATATATATATATATATATAAATTATCAAACATATCAATTGATTTATTCATCATTAAAATATAAAATCAATAAAATATAACACTGCAACAACGTGGTCATATGAGGTTTGATGATTGATGTACCTAAAAGATGCCTATGGGAAACAACTTTTCGAAATGGAAGACGAATATTGAAATCGTTATAAAAGAAAATTTAAACTTATATCTATTATAATACTTAAATAATTATTATATATATATACATGAATACTTTAAATATGTAAAGTATTCATGTATATGATAATGTTATTTTCATAAATCTTTAAAGTATTCATGAATACTTTAAATATGCTATTACGGAAAATTGTTATGGTGTATGCCAATAATAATATTATTTTCTTTTCAGGTTTTCACTCGAGATATGTTTTTTTTCCGTTCTTTTCCCTCTCCATTAAATTCAAACAAATTAAAAGAAAAATATTTCCCCTTTTCCCCTCCCTAAAAACCTTCCAGAAAAGGTCTTGCGGTTCCCGAATCGGAGGGGCGAATGAAACCCTAACCCCCTTGCGTTCTTGTTCGCCATGGGGTGGGAGATGGAGGAGGAGATCGAGGCGGTGATGGAGAGGATCTGGGACCTCCACGACAAGATCAGCGACGCCATCCACGCCCTCTCCCGCGCCCACTTCCTCCGCTCCATCAAGTCCCTGGCAAAGTCCGACGCCCGCGCCGTGGAGACGGCGGCGGGGCCCTGCTGCGGTGACGGGAAGGGAGGGTTCGTGTTCACCAAATATTTTCTGGCGGCTGCGGAGGACGGCGCCGCGATGGCGGCGGAGGCGAGGAGTCTCGACGCCATCAGAGCCGCCCTCGAGAACCTCGAGGATCATTTCGAGTTCTTCCATGTGAGTCGGTCACTTTCTTTGTCGCATGTTTGGTGTCCTCTGTCGATTGAATTCTCTATTTCCTGATATAGGTGCTTGACATTTTCTTCGTTTTCTTTGAGAGGTTAATACGTTATGCGTTTAATGCGACCTGCGGGTCAAGGAGGACAAGATCGATCAAAGTCTTCCTGAGCGGGTTAGATCTACTGAAAGCTTTACCGGTGAAGCTTTGGATCCCTTCATGCCCATGGCTTTTCGATTGGGTGCAATGTACCAATCATGTAAGGCATAATGGTGAATGAAAAGAATATGTTTGGGGTGGAGTTTTAAGGTAATTGCAGTTTGATGACCGTGGCTTATTTGGAGAGACGTCTGCATGTAGAATTGGTACAATGTACAATGCAAAGTGGCATTGCAATTTCTGAGACGACAAAGACGAGAAATTATGGTTCTCCATTTGAGCTAAGTTGATTGCGCTATAAGCAATAGTTCTGTATTGCCAATTCTTTAAGCCACAGTTAAGCTTTATTGCTGTGAAATTCTAGACCTGTAATTTGATAGGATAACCAATGTAAAGAGGGTGTTGCAATTTCTGAGAAGAGGAAGATGAACATAAGTTATGGTACTATACTTGAGTTAACTTTACCTTGTTATTGCACTTAAGCAATAGGTTCCAATCAAGTCTTTAAGTGACAGTGATGACTCTTCTAAAATTTGACAAGGCTTTAGAAAATGTTAAAAGTGTGGTCATGCAAGCCATTTTATCAGTATGGTTGGGATCTTTGTTGATATATGTTGTTCTATAGTCCTGTCAATTTTCCGTTATGAATTTAATATGAACGTCTGCCCTGTTTATGTTGATAATATCATTGTTATTGTTTAACATGTGCTTAGACACGATTGGCTATATATTTGAGAATCCAATACAACCTATTCCAACCACTACAGCCATCATATCATTCCTAAGTTGCCTACATTACGACAGGTTGTTCTTGTCAGCCTCTGGTATTTCAATTTGTGTTTATTGCTTACGCCATATAAAACCTTGACAGCATATATCTTTTTGTGAAGTATTTTTCCTTTTTGTCAACTTACAGTCTTAATCAATGCGTTCAAACATCTTCCACTTAATAGCATAAAGGTGTGTTACAAAAAATTGTTGATGGAATATTTATTCTTGAATAACAAGAACCTAGTTAGTTCTTCGTTGCGATGAAATTCTAGAGGACATGTAGATTTTGGGTTCATTCATTAGTTCATCTTCATTTTCGATGTGCCATACCTGTTTCATGTATGTATGCATGAGGAACCTTTGATACTTGTGGTTATATTTTTTTTCTTGACCTGTTGTGTTCTGGCGGCCAGTCGCCATTCAACAGTTCGTGAAGTAAGCTTGTCAATTGTGGACTCGATTCAACATTGTCAAATCTTTTGCTATGGAGAGTTCAGATCCACATTGTCTATCTTTCCCATTTTCTTTATAAAATGAAAGTGATTAGCAATTTCTAAATGGTTATAAGGTAACTATATGCTATTTGCTGGAATACATGCTAGCTTCCTACAGTCAGATTATGTTATTGGAGGTTCAAATTGTTGTGATACTTTTTGTTTTGGGTAATGGAAGAGGAATATGCTGAAAAAAATTTCATGTTTTTTTATTCTTATTATGACAACTGTAAGCTTTCATGAAATTTACATATTGGTCTATCATGCTATTGTGACCTCGTAGTTAAGTTATTAAGCTAATTATCATTGTTCTTCTACAGACTGTGCAATTACAGCAGCGAGCAGAACGAGATGCTGCTGTTGCCCAATTAGAGCAAAGTCGCATTGTTCTTGCCATGAGATTGGCAAATCATCAAGGAAAAAAGTACAAAGTCATAGAAGAGGCCTTGGTTTTTGTCGGCGATGTGCATGATAAGGGCTGTTTTATAACACCAGAGGCCCTCTATGACATGCCAAGGAGTCAATCTGGTGATAATTTGGAAGATTACGAGGAGAGAAGGTCTAGCATTTTCCTGCAAATGGTAGTATCAAGTTTGTCTTTAGCTAAAAGGACATTCAGATTGGAGAATATCAGTGGTGTTTTTAGCCATGCTGCTATTTTTGCTGCGAGTATGCTTGCTTTTCTGCAGCTTCATCAAATTTCCTCTAAGAGCTGCAGTCCACAGATGCCGGACCAACTATCTTGCAAGAGAAGTGAGCGGAATACTTGGGTTTTAGATAATTCTTCTCAAAATGGTGAGATAAAGCATCTTGATGTTTTGTCAGCTCGGGGTTAGGTTGAAGAACGTAATCAGTCCATGTGTTTTGAGGTTGTCAAAATCTTGTCCTAGAAACTTTTAGCAGTCATTTCTGTTGTTGTTGCATGTAAGTTGACGTCATTATTTCCCAGCTATGTGTTTTCTTGTTCTTTGATTGCCTGATATCAACCTTACTTGCACTACCTTATCTTTGGTTGGATATTGTAATCAAACTATAGATAATTCTCTTGCCTGACTGTAGCCTGATTTGACGTTTAATTTGCTAGTACTGTTGAATAAATTATTTTGGTTGGCAATTGCATATATACATACATGTCATGTATTTATTCATTATAAATGCATTAACATGCGTCGAAGATTGAAGTATGAAGGTCACATCGAGTTGGCTTCTGCCTCTTCGACACTGTCTCCATCATTCTGCTTGGTGTCACCGAAGGCCATGATGACCGCTTGATTACAACCGCGACCAAACAAAAAGAAGTGGTGGTCGCTATATTGCCATTTGAGAGTGAGTGCTTCATCCGGAGATGAAAGGTTTGCAGAAGGTATTATTATTGCATATCTCATCTCAAAATCCTAAAAGTACACTGCAAGATTGTCAGTATGAGATGATCAGACAGGTTGGGGTTGGTTGATGGTATGTATCATCATCACAGCCATCTGCATTGCCACTGGATCCACGGTCTCATGATTCTTCTCTGTTGCAGGACTTTTGACTTGTCAGGAGGCGGAATAAGAAGAGAGGTGCCGCTGGGGATCCACAATGAGCCTTACTGGATTCCAAGAAACGACAACATGCCTCCGGCTCTTCGACCCGTCAAAATCTTGGTCGGATGAGGTACTCGTGCTGCTCTTCTTCCTCACTCCACCACTACCTCTTGCTGGGTTCGCATCAAATATAATCTTCATGTCCCTACACAAAGATCACTTGGCCCATGTAGAGTTTTATCCTGATGTGAGATCAGTTGAGTGCTTTTTCCATCTTCTCAGTTAAATGATTGAGAATGGTGGGAAAAAAATTAATCTGGTCAATGTGATCATATATCCCTGAAAGATTCATAAAGAAGAATAAGGAATTAAATCTGAGATCTAATTTGAGAATGCTCGCATGAGTCGCACATCTATGGCGTCTTTGATGAAGAATGCTCAGCATGCATGGTAAAATGAATCAGTAGCTTTCATCAGTAAATTTGCTTTCATGCAATCTGTCAGCTGCCATTCAATTTCGTAGCTTAGAAAAACTACCGCAGTGTGTTGAACATGTGAATAGGCAGAAGTGGTAGGTGGCCATGACCCCATGTTCCTCATTATGACCTTCCTCATCGTCATCATCATTATCTTCACCCAGCGGTAGAAGAAGAGGTCTTCTTCTTCTTCTTCTTCGTCTTCTACTTGGTGGTGGTGATGATGGTGGTGGAAAGGGGGAATCAGAAATAAATGGTGATCATTCAAGCTGCATTTATACGTGTATCCAATATGTAGATACACAAGCGATGGCATGTGCCGACACTGGTATCGGAGTGAATGAGGTTTAAGGCTGGAGGAGGTCGTCGTCTTCATGCATTCCAATGGAGAAGGGGTGGGACGCCGCAAACGTACGGATACTGTTAAAGATTCAACATGTTTCCTCTCCCTGCACACTCCCTTCACGTACTCCTGTCGGTGGGGAAACAAGAAGAAGAGAAAGAACAATGCCTTCGATCCATCCTTTTTCCATCAAGCCCTTATCCCATGACCAGCAACTTTCAAGGGGCGAAGGTGACGTGTGACGCACTTCGATGCGTCTTCTCTCACCGAAGAAGAGAAACCAAGTCTGCAAACGTGAGTCTGTGGGGTTTCCAGTACTACTGTTACTGTAGCCTGCAGCTGATGCCTCTTTTTTATGAGATCATGTAGCAGGTGAAATTAATGGCGGATGGCGGTATACTGAGAGAGGGATGTAAGGTGGCCGGAAGTGACGAACCCAAACCCAAATAGGAGGATCTCAAGGAGGCTTCAGGATAGCAGCAGCAGCACCAGAACAGGAGATGGCTGCCTTCTTGCGGCGCAGATGCAGGTGATGGGCAAGCAGCAGGAAGATGATGGGCATGCTTACCTCATTGCTCTACTGTCAGCAAACCCATCCCAATCTTTCACAGATTCCTTATTAATATTTATATTGACTGATATAAATCTTATGTTATAAAAGTCTTTAGTGCTGTTAGATCCTTTATTATGCGACCTGTATTTATGTTCTGATTTATTTATGTGATTATGATAGTCATATTTTTAATAAAATAATGATAATATTTATCCCATATTTTTTGGGATTTTATTGTGTTGTTCGAACACAGTGATTATGATGTCCAATAATCACTTGTCATTATAATACTTATTTTCCTAACTAGGATCACACTATTTCAACCAATTATAACTTCAAGTGAATTTAAATTATTATTCTAATAAGAAAACTTGAATCACAATAAAAATCTTACTCCATGTATTATGCATGTCGAAGGATAGAATCCGATGTATATGCCTTTTGTGCGAAATCATCGTCGACATTAGTCCAAGCCCAAAGATGTAAGAGTATCCGAAGTGGCTTCGAGATGGTACTTATACCAAGATCGATATTGGGAGAAATTTTTCGACTCGATCTCTCCGACTCTCAAGTTAGTCTGAGGTCCTTTTTGGGTATGAGTTTTTCTCAAAAAGAGAGCCTCTTGGCACAACATCGAGGTTAACTTTTATACTTGATTCATGGAGCAAACAACCTACAACTATCCCAATGTTCCCCTTTGACATTTTGTCTACATAGGTGATAGAGGGAGACAGGCCCTGAATGGCCTCCCTTAGACTATTGTTCATAGGGACATATGTGTGGAGGGTGACTAGGATATGTTTTTTTTACGTCAGCCTCCACATGGCGATATGTGTCAGATGGTGATTGGTCATCAATATGTTCCTTATCGTTTGTCCCCCCCCCCCCTAGGACATGCTTCGAGGGCTCTTGTTAGAGGGTTTCAGAGTACGACATTCAATTCACCTAACAGGCCTATCACCAATCTATTCCTTTATAGCCTGAAGGAGACACCCATAGGCGTGGGTCGAATTTTTCTAACTCACACGCCTTGAGTACATTTTGTCCTACACCTTCATCATAGCAGATTTTATCTTAGTGTGGGTTAGGTTTTCTGACTCACACGCCTCGTGTTTATTTGGGTTTGCACTTTCGCCATAGCAAATTTATCTTAGAGCAAGTTGAGTTTCCCGACTCATATGCCTCGGGCATATTTCGCCCTATGCTTCTATCATAGTGGATTTATTTGGGCATGAATTATGTTTCTCAACTTACACATCTCAAGCACATTTTGTCCTACGCCTCCAACGTAGCAGATTTATCTTGCCGTGAGTTAGGTTTTCCTAACTCACGGGCCTCAAGCACATTCGACTTGTGCCTCCATCGTGAAAAAATTCTTCTTATGCGGGATGGATTTTTTTTGACTCATGTGTCTCAGGCACATTTGGATTGTGCCTCCACCATGGCAGGCTTCTTTTGTGGGACGGGTTTTCTCGACTCACATATCTCGAGCACCCTTAGATTGTGTCTTTGCCGTGGCAGATTTCTTATCATGTGGGATGGATTTTCCCAACTCATGTCTCAGGCACATTTAGCCTATGCCTCCTCGTGGTGGATTTCTTCCCATGTGGGATGAGTTTTCCTAACTCATGTATCTCGGGCACATTTGACTCATGTCTCTACTGTGACAGATTTCTTCTTACGCGAGATGGGTTTTTTCGACTCACGCATCTTAAGCACATTTGGATTATCTCTCCACCATGGTAGATTTCTTCTCATGTGAGATGAGTTTTCTCAACTCAAACATCTCGAGCACATTCAGCATTTATCTCCGCTGTGATGGATTTCTTCTCATGGGCATATTTGGAATATGCCTCCGCCATAGCAGATTTTTTCTTGCGCGGGTCAGGTTTTCTTGACTCATGCATCTCGGGCATATTTTGACCCTTACCTTCACCATGACGAATTTCTTCTCATGCAGGTCGAATTTTCTTAACTTATGCGTCTCAGGCACATTTGGACTATTTCTTCATCACACTAGATTTCTTCTCACGCGATTGGTGCTAGTTATATGTGTCATACAAGAGTGATGACATATGTGACTTGACATAGTCTTTTTGCTTATTATTATTAATTGGTATTTTTATCACTTTATATTATTTGTTATATAAATATATTGTGATATCACTGATTTATGCAATGGAAATCGGATCGTGATGAGATAATGATAATAAGATCGATTCACCTTTAAATACAGATCCTAAATAATCCTGGTTATAGGTTACTCAAGATGGACATCAAGATAATCGGATAGACTGATGTGTTGTATACCCATACATATAATAGATGTAGCTAGTCTTATAGCTGATCGTGTGGGGACAATGGAGATACAGTACAGGTGTTCATTGGAAAATGAGTTCACTGATTGATTTACTTACGGAATGCTGGATGGTTAATGATATCTCATTGTCAGACAATGATTCTGTTGTCCCAGTGATGTACTTGGTCCTTAGACTTGAGACACCAAGGATATCTTGTATGAATACTCTATTCTTTGATACCGAACTTATAGGCATGGAAATTCTAAATCTAGCATAGCCGGTCATCGGGAGTGACAACCAATCTTACAAGGACTATTGAGTATCGATAACACTCTCAGTGTCATGAGAGGAATATCTCATATGTTCTTGCTCAGACAAATCCTTGGCTAGGGTCATTCGAATTGAGAGAGAAAGAGTTCTCCGAGAAAATCCGATTAGAGCGAGGCTCGTGTAGAAATTGTATGGGCCTGACAGCACCATGCTTGGTATATAGTCCCTAGGATATTAGATGGATGAGGGACTATAGGTACACAGTAATTAAGGATATACATGTCCAATGGATTGGATTCTCTTGTATTACCTGGGGACTGCAGCGCAATGGCCTAATACATCCGATATTGGGCCTAGAAGGAGTTTTGATAGGTATGACCACGACCAGCTCGATATTTGGCCTAGAGGGTCATACACATATGGTAAGCGTTGCGACGAGTAGAGGTTCAGATATGAGATATCCGCTGGAGCCCATATCTTATTGAATATTCAATAAGCCCTTGAATTATTAGATCTTATGGATGAGATCCAATAAAAGCCAATGAGAGATTATTGGATAGAGATCCACTAATCTAATAGGCTTGGGTAGTTGGATGGAAATCCAATACCCAATAGGGTAGGATCCATTATGGTTAAATTGATATGTGACTTTTATAAATAGAAGAGAACTAAAGGCCCGTAGGCTAGAGGTTCTCTTGATTGTCATCTCCTATTCTCCTTTCCCTTTCTTCTTCTCAAATCGTAGGCTTGGAGATTTGAGGAGCGTTATTGTAGCCCTACTGTATGGATCACCATTAAAGAGGAGGTGTTTGACCTCCTTCATCCACTCCTACAGATCTGCAAGGATTTAAGGATATACAATCTCCCTAGGTAAAACACTATCTCATATGTGGATTTAAGTTTCACGGATTTTTGCGTACTAATTTTTGCATGACGACGAACACATCTTTGGGAAATTTGAGGATTTTATTTTTATTTTCTTCCACTGTGCATATAATGCCCCTTTCCTACAGTTGAGTTTTCTTGACTCACGACAGAGGTAGGAGTGGGGCAATAGCCTTCATCATGCCTATTAGCGTCTACACCTATTGGGTGAGGTTTATAAATACCTTGATAGAGAAAAGTAGGTGGCTTGAGATTGTCCCTAGGGGTGAAAGGCATGGGTCATTTAACAGATACCAGTATCGCACTGATGTTTATACCAAAGTGGACATATCCGCGTGAGAGAAGAATGACAATTGTTGCCCTTAAGTAAAAGTGTTATGAGTTGGAGGCATGATCTCTTCGCTAGAGCGTTCATTGGGAGGATTAATATGGATATTTCTGTGACATCAAACCCTTCTTTTGGCATAAAAATATTAGGAAAAATTATCATCAACATTTGAGTCAACCTAATATAGTTACACCCGAAGGCATAGGAGTGTTTGAAGTGGCTTTGAGATGTCTCGAGTTTGAGTTTTTCTTAAAAAGAGAGTCCCTCAGCATGACATCGAGGGTTAGTTTTTATACCTGATCAATGAAAGAGATAATCTACAAATATCCTAATGTCCTCCATTGGTGGTTTGTCCACGTGGGCAACAAAGAGGGAAACAAACCCAAACGGCCTCCCTTAGACTATTGTCCATGATACCAGTTGATGGGATATAAAGAGAAATAAACTTTTATATATGAATTAATACTAGCAGGCCATAACACGCAGCAAAATTAAATAGAATCACAATCAAATAGAACACCAAGATTTACTTGAAAACCTCTCCAAAGTGAAGGGTAAAAATCATGAGGTAAACTAGAGATAATCTACTATGAGAATAATTAATATATAAATCTTAATCTCTTGCCATAAACCCTAGCAACAATCACAAGAGAATAATTGAGATACAAGGATCACGTCACTATGCACAATATCCAAATTCTCCCCTAAGTAATCACAGCAAGAATCTACTATAAATTTGATCTAACCTGAGATGAAAACACTACTGGTGATTAAGAACAGTCTCACTGCATTATCCTTGTCTTCTTCCCTTTCTTTCTCTTGTTTTTCTATCTTATTCTCCTCCTTGTCTTTGGAATCACATGGCTACAGTATTCTTCTCATTACTATAGTTTTTCTTCCTCTTTTCGCAGCCTCCACACACCCTCTAATATGATTTAAGGTTAGCTCGAGGAGGTGGGCTGACGATCGGAGGGTGATTAAGACTTTTTTTTTCTATGTCAATCTCCACGTGACGATACGGTGATTGGCCATTAGTACGTTCCCTATTAAAAATTATGATCATTCACCCAAGTGAGACCAATCAAAAATATACATTTTAAGAAATACTCTAATTATATATTTCGAGTACATTATTACTCTCATTTCTTTGTTTACGAAGATATCATACGACTCCCTTACCTCATTAACACATATCCACGTCCCCCCTAGTCATAGTGCTTAACGATTCGATAAATCTTCCGACGATCAATTGATGATTTTATGTAATTATCCCTAATAATTTTCAGTCCATTATAAAAAAAACCTTGATTGCACTATTTTAGATTCTCTTAAACAACAACTCGGAATACACAATACTCTTATCCTCCTACTATTATAGACATAAGAAGGGTCTCCGTTTTATAAGATATGGAACTTGCGGTAAGTTTGGACGCTGTATGCGAGTTAATTTCGAATTTTTGATATGTTTTTTAGATAATCAAAATTTATTTTAGCACTATTGAAAATATATAATTCAGTAGAGATTTGGAATTTTGTTTCTCTCTGTTGTATCTTTCTGGTCATATGTTGTGCATACATGACATAGTATGGGAGCCGATGCTGCCATCTGTTAGTCCTGCCAACAAATGGATCAGCGAGAGCCGAGAAATGGATATGCCACATAGACGCACACAGAGGAGGAGACAAATGCCGCGAGACCACGTCAGCATAAGCCACTTGGTTTCTCGAGTCCATCCATTCGGCCGTGTCTCCTGATTTGGCCTCACCTGCCATGTGTGGGACCCCCTCATCTCATCTTATCAATTCCACGCGAATCCATAGGAACACATGTCATGGAAAAAGGCGTCGCAATTCAAACCGCCTTTGTTCTGTTGACCATCAAATCAAATCAGTGCTCTGTTTATGGACACTATCCAATTGTTTCCTTTTTGGATTCTAATTAAGAGATAAAACAATTTTAGTCTTAAGTTTACACCAACTTGTCAAATAAAATATTATGATTAGATTATCATATATTTTAATAACTATGAATGCTGATTAAATATAGAATTTCAACTCGTGACCTATTATCATAAGAAATTCAAATGAAAAAAACAGCCCACAAAATTCTAATTACAGTGGAATAACATTAACTTTCTTGGGTCATAAATTAGTTATTTTTTTTCTGAGAAATAGATGGGTTATCAGATTCTCTTAGTAATCATTATAATTATTTGAAATAAATAAATATTTTTTTAATAAAAGGGTAAAATTGGTAAAAAAAATGAGTGAATTCTCGAAAAAAAAAATTAACTTAGAGAATTTTCCAAATAGCACTCTAATTTTAAAAAAATTTCTTAGAGCCCCTTTGACTCTGTAAAAAGATTATTTTACTTTTATCTTCGCACGACCCATCGTCACCTTCTCCTCCCTATGTTGTGTTCACTATCATCCTTGTGCCCTCGTCGAACCCCAAGGGCATTGCGAGTGCTCATGCCAACCCTAGCTACCTCCACCTTTTGTTACAGTCATGGAAAGACAGCACATATGAGGTGACCAAAGATATCGTGAGCAATAATTGTCCATTCAGGACAAAGAGAGGGACAACAAGTGTGACTAGCCTACACATACAAACTCATATGCGATGCTTGTTAGCGGCGTTCGTCAACCGTGCGAAAGATGATCGTCAATCCGAATAGAATGATTATTTAAAAAATATTTTATGAGAAATTTTTAATTAAGGATTTGTAGGGAGGAAACTGAAATTAGCCAGCAAAATAATCGAGGGTGAAACGAACGCCATCTCTCTCTCTCTCTCACACGTACGAATGCAACGGTGGTGAGGTGGTGCGGTGTTGGGGGATCCTATAAAACAAACTGCAGATCTCTCTCTCTCTCTCTTCAGCTGCTCCCAAATAGCGCCAAAGCCGATGCCAACACCACCAACCCCAAAAACCCACCTCTCTTTCTTCTCCCCCATTCACGTTATCTTCTTCTCGGGTGCTTTGATGCTGGGACATACGGAGAGCAGAGCGGCCTCCGAGACTTGAAGTCCGTGCTGCTGCCGCCGCCGCTCCCGCTGCTTCTACTCCTCCTATCCGACACGATCGCGTACTCTTTGCTGCCTGCAACCGCACTGTGGCCTTCTTGCCTTTTTGAGGTAATCTTCAAACCCCCTCTAAACCCCTTCTCCTTTTCCCTCTCCTATCTCTCTCCCCTCTCTCTCTCGTCTCCCTCTCTCTCTCTCTCTCTCTCTCTTGTTCTCTCTTTTTGGGGTCACTTCGGTGGGGTTTTGCTTGTCTTCCTCTCCCTCCATTAAACGCCGAGGCTTCCCTGGAAATCTCACTTCTTTTGCCTTTCTTCTTTCTTCTTCGAGTGTATTTCATTTTGCCGGTATAACAAAGGAGATTTGAGTTCTTATGCTGTGTCTCTGTGCTTTCTCGGTGGATTGCAGGGGAGGGGGAGAGCAAATAGATGCGAATAGGATAGAATAGTATAGAATAGAACAGAGCTATCAAGGAACCATGGAGGTTACGCTGCTAATGGTGCCTACCAAGCGGACGGAGCACGTCGACGTGACCCCGAAGACCCTACCGTTGCTGCACCCCAAACACCGGCATTGCGACGCCGCCAGGCCGCGCACGGTTAGAATCTTCTGCGACGACCACGACGCCACCGACTCCTCCGGCGACGAGGGAGACCGCCGCCGTGTCCGCCGCTACGTCCAGGAGATCCGCTTCGAGGCCCGCCCCCAGGCCGCTGGAAAGAGCAAGCCCGCCAGGAAGAGGAAGACGGCCGCCCTCGCTGCCACCGAGGCGGGCAGCGGCGACGCTGAGCGCAGGTTCCGCGGCGTCCGGCGGCGCCCGTGGGGCAAGTACGCGGCGGAGATCCGTGACCCGTGGCGGCGAGTCAGGGTGTGGCTCGGCACGTACGACACCGCCGAGGAGGCCGCCAAGGTCTACGACTCCGCCGCCATCCGGCTCCGTGGTCCCGACGCCACCACCAATTTCTCTCACCCCATGGCGGCCGCACAGCCCCCTCCCCAGCCGCCGCCGAAGAAGTGCCCCTCCAATAGCAACCTCACCTTCATCTCCGGCGGGTACGACTCCGGCGAGGAGTCGCGCAACCTCTCCTCCCCGACCTCCGTCCTCCACGGCTTTTCCTCCTCCTTGACGACGTCCAAGGAGGCCGCAGAGAGGCCGAGGTTTCCGCCAGAGGTTACGGGCCCCGACGAGAGCGGAAGAAGTATGCTCACCGCCGGGATTATACCGGGGCAGCTCAGTGGCTTTTTGCCCTTCGAGGAGGCGATGCTCCACGACAATTTCCTCGACTTCGGCGCGGCTGAGCCAAGCCTTTTCGACGACTCCGCTCAGATCGGCTTCATAGCCGGGGATTTGAGCCAGACCTTCATCGGCTCCGACCTCGACTTCGGCTCGTCGACGTGGCAAGCGGGAGACGACTATTTCCAGGACATAGCCGACTTATTCCCGATCGAACCTCTCGCCGCCGTCTGACGCCGTCCAGCGGTCGCCGATTAATAGTCCGATTTTGTAGCCGCCAGAGAGAGATGTTGGCCCTTTTTTTTATGCCTTTTTCGTAATTAGTTTTTGCAGTTTTGCCCAAAAATATCTCCTTCCGTTAAATGGCAGGGAAACGGAATCGAGAACGTGTTTCTCGTTTCTTCCCTTTCTCTTGTTATTTTAATTTTGCTTTTTGCCACAAGCGAGTTCTTGTTTTATTGGTCAGGGTTTTTGTCTTGGAATCGTACATATTTCACCGCAATTTTTGCGCTTACTCTATCTAATATTCAAAATTAATCTTTTTGCGGAGATATGATTCGTCCGAGATACTTAAATTAGTTTAAGGTTTAAATGATTTTTAGAAAAAATCTTGAAGAAATTGGATGAGAAATACACTTGCAAAGATAAAAATATAATAGTTCTTAACTAATTTGAATTTTATGGTAGGGATAATTATAGATTATTTTCATAGTTAGGTATGTTTAGCATATTGATATTTATATTTTAAAAAATTATATTAACATCCTTCTTTTTATTTAAGTTATCGATTTTACGAGGATCATCACCTCAATAATATAAGAGATAGGATCACCATCCATATCATCGTTAGGTAGGCCATCCTCTTGAGACAGTACAAGAGATGAGAATTATCACCTCAATAATATAAGAGATGAGGATCACCGTTCATAGGCCATCCGAGAGGATAGCGAAGCCAAAAAAAAAAAGATAACAAAACTTAAAAAAAAAATATTTTTTTATAAAATTAATATCATGTGAATCAAAATTATCTTTTTATTTTTTTAGTATCAATTCTACACATAACAACCCGTGATTTAGAACTAGGATAAAAACATAATTAACTATAAAAATAATCTGTGAGTAAAATTGAATTCTTACTAGACACCTCAACGTGTGATTGTTAAACAGCAAATATAGCAAGAAAGAGAGGCCCCAGCAGGAGCAAAAATAAGGATGTAGCAGGAGGAAGCGTACGGTGATAACCCACGAGAAACCCAACAACGAAAACCTTCCGAGCACAAGGACAAAAACTCGGATCGAGCCACCCAAAACAATTATATATGACTGCAGATGCCGAGAAGCTATAGGATGATGCACACTACCGTGGACGAATTGGTCATGGCCAGCAAATGGGACAAAGCGCGACGGTATCGGCCGAATCCCACCGGCCATGGCGACTGCTGCTGTCCCTGTGCACGGCTCAGACTGGGAGTAAACAAAACATAGGGTCTCGGCTTTCTCACTTTGAACTCCATATGTTTTGAGAGACAATAAGCGCCCCATTCCATGCACAGAGGAGGAGTCGTCAACCAAGCATCAACTCCCAGATGTTCGTGTACCATCTCACGGTGGCTTCCTGTGTAGCCTCTCCTCCGCAGTAGACGGTAAGCAATGCAGCAGCCTAAGCTGAACATATTTAGCCACCACGTGATGCGTGAGATTTTAGGGTCAATATATATAAAGAAATCATTCAAAAAAATAGACTGTAAACACCAAATCATGACTCCCATCACTACTACCAACCAAATCTTATTTTGGAGAACTTGATTCAATGCTCTTAGAAATAGTCTCCTAAATTAATGTGTTCTACAGTTAAAGTTTGTAGAAACATATTACAATGTGCTCTTTTACAGTGTATGTATATATACACAGATAAGTAGTGACCTGAAAATAGGAATTGCGATGCGTAAAATACCCTATTCAAGTTCAAACTCAGACTAATGCTAAAGCATTCAAATTCATTCCAAATCCAACTCGAGTATCTACTCTCTCTTTTTTTTTTTGTCTTTATATGTGCGAAATCTAATTGTCAGTCATCTAGAAAACAAAGAATCTAATTCAAGGACACAGCCATTGATTATGAATAAATTGCAAAGTGAGGTTTTTAAAAATTATGCATCACATATATGGAACATTTAAAAAAATAAAAAGAAAAAAGCTCTTACGACCAAAATGTCCCATCCCATGTGTGGATCACATGGCTCCTATTCTTTTCCTCTATGCATGACAAACCCTAAAGCCCTGCAAGTACACAAAGCTCTACAAAGTACATTAGATGAGAAGAAGAAGCAGCAGTTGACGCTCTTTCTAAAATGGTTCACTAGGCCTGATTTCCAGGGTTTAGGTTTTCCACTCGTGCACACAAACACATCTCCTTCACTGATTTAATGTCTCCATTAATTGTAATTCCAGGTGGTTTAGTTTTTAATCCTTAAAATAGTGTAGGCACATGAGGTCCAAACTCAGGCAATATATTATATATCGGGAACAGCAACCCTGGATGTACACGCTATGTGATTATTGACCAGCAAGTCCATGTATAGGACTGACCTCCCAGAGATTCTTTGGCTGGATATGGTATGACAATGAGGTAAATGCAATGGCCCACGGATCCACTCGTTCTAATTGCTGCAATTTATACAAAGAGTTCACTGTTTCAAAACCATAATTCATGTGGAGAGCAGGAGGGTCTAAGAGGGCTTCAATGTCTGCCATAGTTTTTCTTTTTATGTGTTTCTTTCTTTCTTTCATCAGTGCTGATTTCAGCTGTAGTGAAATTAGTCAATTCAGGAGGGAGAAGATAAATCTGTTGAAGGTTAAACTATACTACATTTTTTAGGATCATATTAAAATTGGGTCTGGATACATGAAATAAGAAGAAAAGAGATAAACAACTAGTTTAGTGTCTCTTATATGTTCTCTCTCTCTCTTCTCTACCCATTATCAAAGCCTAACAACCTTCACATCATTTTCCAAAAAAAAAAAAAAACTACAAATTTCATCGGGATGAAAGATACATTCTGTAATGATACAACAAAAACAACCATGCATAAGAATCAAGAAATCAAAGAATAATGAAAACTTTCATGATTTGACTCGTAAACCTACAATTAGAAGATAAGGCACTACATTAGAAAAATATAGAGAACAAGATGGCTACCGCAGCATAATTCCAAAATCCCTAGTACATCTAAATTATAAAGAATGCCAAATCGAGCAGTTAGAAAAAGTCAAATCCAAATTAACTTGAGATTGTGCAACTTCTAACTAAGGCTGCTCAAGGCCATCAGTACTAGGACAATCTTTTTTTTTCATGGTTTAGTTCTTTCTAGATTATCGGTGTGATATTCTGGTGTTGCTTGAATTCAGTGTATAAACCACAACAATCACAAATCATGAAATAACATATACTCACTTAATTTAAATGTACCTAATGAGTTTAATCAACTACGTAACACTAATACAGGAGAGCATTAATTACCCTAACATCTCCATTTTGTATGATAATAGAAAAGTCAGTAGGTACACGTAGAACATTAATGCACCAACCAGGCTCACACAAGTGGTATGTGTGGAGGATCATAATATTTTCAAAGGTTGGTACTGTTCTCTCTGTCTTTGCATGCATCTTCATAAATATCAAGTAATCATCAAATATCTTTTACCATTGGCTTGATTTGCCAAATTGTCGCTAGACTTAAACAGTGTTCAGGAGACCAACCGGCTCAATTAGATTATTGGCCCAGTAACTATACGGTCAATTTGATCAGATAACCAATCCATCAACTTGATGGTCCAAAATTACTGGTTCAAAATGTTTAATCCTAAACTAATAGTAGAACACATATTTAGTTAATAAACCAACTCATATTTCTTTCTAGATCTGGACTATATTGTCCTTTCCTGCATAGATGATTCAAAGATATTAAAAATCAAATTTTAACATGGTATGCAATACAAAGGGTGGATATGCAAAAAGACTCTAATAAGGTGAAAGGTTATGAATAATGTGCACCAACCTTAGCAATGGTGGACGGAGGATATTGTGGGAAGTTGTGACTACGATACCTGCAATGTAAGTGGAAGAAGCCCCTCGGACCAATCATGTTAAGTTATCACACCATTCCTGGATTCTGAATAACTTCTGTCAGCAGGTGGGAGAAGCCTCTCGGACTTTCACCAGTTGAACCATTGCAGGATGGGGAAGTCAGAGCTGGCCCTCATATGCATGCACTTCGAACATAACGTTCCTCTTGGTTTCTTCTGAAGATCTTACTCTGCCACAGAAACAAAGCCTGGAAGAGGCAAGAAGTCCAAATATCAATTTCCCATGCACATTCAGGAGCAGCATAGAAAGTCTAGCAAGCCTTTCAATTTTCTTTTTATTTCTAGAAGGGCATGATTGAGGCATATCTACATACACCTTCAGTTCAATAAGAAGGTGAGAATGTCAATTTATTCTTACAGATAACAACAGCAAGGACACCACCTAAGGCAAAGAGTAACATCAGAAGGAAGAGCTAACCATGAGCTGGGTAATTATTCTTGGAATCCATATAGCCTAGAACGTAAATCCATAACGTGCCCACTAAATTAAGCAATGAAACTTAATTTGCATGAATCTACGCAGGTTGCCATCATAACGGGCTTCCAAAATCTGTCAAATGGTTCTACACTTCTACTAAGGAATAAACCCAGAATCATGAAAGCCTAATGAATAGATACCTAGTTCATCGACAAACAAGAGAAACACAAACCCATCTTTGTGTCAATTTCATACAATCATTATCACGTTCTTCTAGCACAGAAATTCGATTGTAGAAGAGAGGTGAATGCAGGTACAGAAGATCACAGAGGTCAGCTTGCAGGTGCAGTCAACCAATCACTGCTCTTTGCATTAACTTGGCTTCTTTTATGCTATCCACCCACACCTCTAATATGTGGAAACCTAAAGTTGTCAGAGAGGAGAAAGAGGGCACACCCGCAGGGCTGAGCATCCATGTAATTTGTGCAATCGCACTGATCAGACGTAAAGGATGAGACTGTAAGCACTAAGCAGCTACGGGATTGGTTCAGTATTTACGAGGGGCGAGAACCGATAGAACCGGAGTGGAGCATCAACAGCTGACTTCGATTAGCACTTGGAAGCTGCCTTTGTGCACTTCACCTGTCACAGGGCAGTTTTGGACATATTATTTCCATGTCACGATAAATTTACAGGACAATTGATCCAAAAATTGTCATCCGGATCATGTTGTATGAATCCCGTGATTGACTAAATTTTCATGTCAAGACTTAATAGAAAATATAAAAAAACATTTGAATTTTGTTGCCTCAAGGTGTATTTTTCTAGGCTAACACCTGAATGAAAGATGAATTATGTAAGTACAATCTCCCAGTGTGGAACTATCAGGCAAATTGAATTGAATTGGAAAACATCCTTGAACAAGATCAGCAGGTCATCCAATTTACCTTTTCATATCAAATGCTTGCTTTGGATTTGATTGATCGCAGCCAGATCGATCCATCCAAATCTACTCCACCCATAAGGTAGGTTGTGCTGAATCAGCAATTAATCCAAAGAAAAATAAAATGATTTTTGAATATGAATTCAGATTCACGACTAGTACAAAAAGAAAATTTCTACTTACCACTGGCAGCCACCCACTGTAAAGATATCAGAGTAGAGTTTCTTGGTGTTCAACCTGGAGAAATTCTCGATTGCCCACGTAAATCTAAGGACGAAGGTTCCTCCTCCTGATGGCTCCAGTCAGTACTGGTGGCTTCACTCTGAACAACTATGCAGACAAAAAAAGGAAAAGAAAACCGACCAATACCCTAATAATATAAATCAATCAAGTCACACAATTCCAGCATTAGTAAGGAACCTATAGATCAATTCCAATTGAAAAGAAGAAATCAAATTCAATACAACAAAATCTCAAACCAACCTCCAAGGAAGAAAACCAAGATCATGGCTAACCCGTCATTGGCTGGGGACTTTCGACGGTGACGGCACAAAGGTCAAAGAAACTCCGAAGGTTTAGATATCAAGATATCGAGGAGGTGGTGGCGCGTACGGCGAGCGTAGGTGGAGACGTGAGAGCGGGGAAGTGGAGGAGCCCAATCGCGACCGAAAACGGAGGAGATGGACCTGCGATCTCCGGGAAGACCACGGCTAAGGAGAGGAGAGAGGAGGGCGGAGAAAGGGAACTGTCAGAGGCGAGGAAAATGGAAGGCCAATAGGGGTATTGCAGAGCGCCACTGCGCGCTATATAACCTCTATACGCTTCTGTATTCCATATACGATAATTTTTATATACAGTTATATTATTAGCAAAATAAAAATCCACGGTACAGATTGGAAGTAACAACTAAAACAATATCAACTTTAAATCCTCTCATATTTTGATTAAGAACCAAAAGTCATATAACGAGAACCACAATTAAATAATTTGGTCGAACACTAACAATTGATAAGCGGAATAAAAAGAAAATTAACTAAAGCAGTAATAATGCATCAAGAAAATGATAATATTTGTTTCAAGCAACAAAAGAGAGCAGTTTGTTTATTATGCCTATCCAAGAGCAAATGAAGCACTGACATCGGTTTGCTTGACTAGCGCTCAAAGCACTGACAGATACCGTCAAGGAGAGGAGGAATCATGCGATTCAGCACCTTCATGGAGTAAGCAATACGGTCGGTCCAGTCCTGATAGCAATCAACTACTCGACTCTTGACAGCAGCCAAACCTGTCTCTTTTCTTTCTTCATAAGACCAATCACTGAATCGGAGAACAGTGACATCGGCTTCGATTATAAGAGTGTCGTTCACAAGAAATCCTTCGCTCGAGTTATGGACTTCACTTAGTGGCATAAAATGTGAAAAACCCCAATCATTTCTAAGTGCACAGAATATGTTCTGGCAATCTGCAAAAACAAGGAAAAAAATGAAAATTTCTTAAGGATAACCTGAATTATTAGTTTAATCTGCCAAATGAAATGACTAAGTATGTTCAATATGTAATGATGAATGATAGGATCATATTATATGATATGTTTGACTAAATTTTATCTTGAGGAATTGCAGATCATCAAACAAATGAATCAACAATTATTTGAAGGCTTTCTTTTTAGGCATCCACCTGTGTGGCCTTAACCAGTGACTCGGACGAAGTAGGCAATTTGAATTAAATTGGAAAACATCATTGAGCAAAATCGTTAGATAGTCCAATTTACCTTTTGTGATCGAACGGTTGGATTTGATTTGATTGATTACAGTCAGACCGAAATGCGCAAATCTTGTCCACCCAAAAACTAAGCTCGCCGAATCAGCAGCATCCATGTATATGGACAAAGAATCAACATTGTTACCTTTCGGAAAGAGAAGCAGTCTCCTGTCACGATTAATCCACACACAAAAGAACGAAAAAGAACGGTTGTTACTAATGATAAAGAATCCGGATTCGCCATCAGCATTGAAAAGAGAAATCTACGAACCATTGGTGGCCACCCGCTAAGAAGACGTCCGAGTAGAGCTTCCTGGTTTTCAACCTCGAGAAGTTCTTGATCGCCCATGTAAACTTGGAAATAGAAGTTTCCGTAACATCATCGTCATCATTGGTACTATAATCAGTACTATCGGTTTCACTCTGAGCATCTGCGCGACATATAAATCAGACGAATCAAACCCCAAATGCTACATTTAATCCATCAGAAAGATTCAATCCACTAAAATCTTAATCAAGTTCAAACAGAAAAGAGGAAGAAAACCAAGATCCATTTGCTGGTGTCCCTCAGCCATTTGCAGACGCGGGTTCATTATCTCATCGTCCTCCTGCTGCAAAAAACACCACATGAGTCAGCTCCCTGACGGCAAAGTCAAACCCTACACATCTGACACCAAGCCCGAGCCAGATACCTTTCCCGAACCCTAAAGCCTTGACGAAATCGACACTAAGAGCAAAGACGAAGGAACGAAAGCAGGGAACGAGAGAGATTAGGAGAAAGAGCAGCAGGAGTGCAGTGGTGGTGGTGCATACGTTGTGAGAGGATGGCGTCGTCATAGTCCTTGGCTGCGGGGAGTCTAAGGAGCTGATCCGAGGAAGAGGGTGGGAGGGACGAGGGCGGAACCTTGGCGGAGACTGCGGCATTGGAGGGGAGAATACCGAAGAAGGGGAGCTCTCAGAAGCGAATGAAGCTGCCTTGAATTGGTTATTCCGAGGGGACAGGGCTTATATAGGCCGCTAGGGGGGTATTCCAGTAATTTTAGGGTGCTAACGATGAGCGCAGAAGGCTGTAACGTACGCCGGACAACGTGGATACCTTTTATGTACCAATATTGCATTGTTTTGTATATTTAATTGCATTATTCGGATAATGAAAATCCATGCAAGAAAATATAATTATTAATTAAAACAACAAATAAAATTTAAATCGCTAACTTTGAATTGGATATAAATATATGCAAATATTATCAGAGTATATAACTTCATGTCCTTTGAATAGTATGTGTACTAGTGAATTTTTAGAGTTAATTTTTTGAAAACTATTGTAATATAATATAAAGTATTTTTCAGTATTATAATATTTTTGATATTACTGAAAATACTATAACAAGTACGAAAATATTATAATATAATATAAATATTTTTTAATATAATATTATTTTTATAATATTATGAAAATACTATAATATAACATAAAAATATTATAATTAAATCGATTTAGATTGACCCAAAGGAAAAATAATGGAAAAGAGACTCGATGTGATTGATAAGATAGCCCGATGTGCATTGATGTATCAACCTAAAAATTAAGGTTGAATGGTGTGTTTAACTAGATCTCTTTCGTACTTAAGTTAGTCCCAAGTTGGAAAGGGAAATAATTGATAAAATATTAATCCAAGAGAATATTTTATAGTTGCTAGGGGAAAAAATTATTGATATCTTAATCAGTCCAACATAGTCTAGACATGTATAAGTAGGATTGTTCGAGATACTTTTAAGGTGAAAACATTAAGCTCCCAAGGTATTACTTGCAAAGGGGGTACAACCTCTAAGTATCCTAATGATCCTCTCTTAGTCTCTTGTTCACGTGAGCGACAAGGGAGGGACAACCTCGAAATTTCTACCTTGGACCTTTTTTGAACCCTTGTCCATGCAGGTAGATAAGTAGAATGTGACTTAAATCTTTTGCTCCCACTGAGGACTCTACGTGGTGGTAACGTGTCGGATGATCATTAACTAATAATGTACTCCTCCATCATTTCTCCCCCCCTCCCCCCGTCATGCATGCTTTGGAGCTCTTACAAGAGGGGTTTGAAGTATAGCTTTTAGTTCATCCGGCACGAGTACGTTCAGGATCACCTCCTTAGTGTTGTTGGTGGCGATCCATTGCCGAAATATCCCTCGTGGCGTCGAAGGGCGCATATTGGTCAGGGGGTCAAGTTTTCCGATCTTTCCATCTCCTCATGACCTTCACGTCTTAAATGAAGGTGAGGGTTAACCTTCTTGACCTTCACACCTTGGACGAAGGTAGGGATCGGTACTCTCGACCTCCACGCCTCACACACATTTTGCCTTATGCCTCCGTCATTATGAATTTCTCAAGTTCGATTTTTTTAACTTACATGCCTTGGGCACATTTTGTCCTATGCCTCTATCGTGATGAATTTTTTCTCACACGGGTCAGACTTTGCTCACTTAAGTGCCTTGAGTATATTTTTCTTTGTGCCTCCATCATGGCAAATTTTTCCCCACACGGATCAGGTTTTTTTCAACTTACGCACATCGAGCACATTTTGCATTATACCTCCGTTATGATGGATTTATTCTCATACCGATCGAGTTTTTTTTACTCAAATACATTGAAAATATTTTATCTTATGCTTTCATTATGATAGATTTCTCATTACGAGGGTCGGGTTTTTTTAATTCATATGCTTCTGGCACATTTTGACTTTTGCCTCCATTGTCGTAGCATAAGGTATATTTTGCATTGTGTCTCCACTATTAAATTTCTACTCATGTAAGTCGGGTTTTCATGACTCACGTGCCTCAAGTATATTTTGTCTTGTACCTCTATCGTGATGGGATTCTCCCCAAGCGAGTCAGGTTTTCCCGACTCATGCGTCTTAGACACATTTTATTTTTATGCCTTTACCATGGCAGATTTCTCTCCTCACACACCTCAGACATATTTTTCCTTGTGCCTCTATCATAATGAATTTCTCTTCACTCATGTCAGGTTTTTTTGACTCGTGCACCTTGGATATATTTTGCTTTATGTCTCCGTCGTGACAAAGTTCTCTTTATGCATGTTGAATCTTTTTGACTTACGTATCGAGCATTTTACATTATGCGTCTGTCATGACACATTTCTCTCCATATAGGTTGAGTTTTTATAGCTTATATACCTCAAGCACATTTTGTCTTGTGCCTATGTCGTAACAAATTTCTCGTCATGCAAGTCGGGTTTTCCCGACTCGTATGCATCAGGCACATTTTGCATTGTGCCTCTGCCTTGTCATATTTCTCCTCACATGGGTTGAGTTTTCTTGACTCATGTGCTTTAGAGTCGCTTGAGGTGACTCCGATGTGAAAATATTGAGCTCTTAAGATATCATCTTCATGAAGACCAAGGTTGAGAGATGTTTCCTAACCCAATCCCTTTCGACGTCTAAGAAACTTGAAGTCTGTGAGTGCAGACATGAGTGTCAAAAAAATATCCCTTCTATTCATTGTGTTAAGGATGTGTTTTTATACTCAATTGCATAAGGGTGATAATCTCTAACTGCCCAAATTGTCCCCTCTTGACTTTTTGTTCACATGGGCGATAGGGTGGATAGCCTCAAATTGGCTGCTCTAGATCTGTTTTAAACTCTTATTCATCCAAGCAAACAGATAGAAGATGACCTAGATCTTTTTCTCCTATCGAGAACTTTATGGTTAATGATGATTAATTGATAGTGTATCACCTATCGATATTATAGATAAAATATTTATTTATATATATTTTTATTATAATTAAGCTTCAGTGATTGTGGTTCCACGCTACCATTCAGGGTAAATATTTTTCATATAAGATTATAATAAAAAAATCGACTAAGATGACATTAAAGATCAAGAATTTAAGAAAATATATTCACAAGCAAGATCAATCAATCAAGTAATCAATAATAATTGAGTGAAACAACAAATAAATGATTTTCTTTATTTTGTATTATACAAAATCGGATAAGGCATCCAATACATATCTAATGATTCCGTGTGGGTCGGTGACGAGAAGGTCGGTTCGGGTCGAATCGTTTCTATTTGACACAAATAGAAACAATACAAGCATTAAATCACATTTCTAATTACCTGCATTGTGATTGGAGCACACTGTGGGGCCTCTGAGCACACGATTGGTAAAAGGACGAACCCGGCCTATGTGATGACACGGTTTGGCGGCCGATTCCATGCTTTACAGCCTCGCAAGTCTCTCTTTTCGCTGAGATCTCATCTCTGCTCCTCCGATTGCTTCCATGGCCGACAGCGCTGCGCCGCCAGCGAAGGCGGAGGAGAAGCGGTCGTGGGCCGACGAAGAGTCCGACGAAGAGCAGGAAGCGGCCGCGCCGCCATCCCAGGCCGCTGACGAAGCCCAGCCGTCCGAGCTGAAGAAGATCGAGTCGCTTTCCATCTCCGACGTGAAGGATGGGGGCGACCGGGCGCCGGAAGATTCCGACGGTGGCGGCCGTCTGCTGGATGATCCCGACGATTCCGATATCAAAGCTGTAAGGATTCTTGTCTAGGGTTTAATCCGATGTTGGAAAGCTCGATTCATGACGATTTATAACTTGAATAGGTTACATCCGGTGAAACTGTGTATAACTCTGCCGTGGCGTTTGAGGACTTGAAATTATCTGATGAGCTCATCAAAGGGTTATATGTCGAGATGGGCTTTAGTAGGCCTAGCAAGATACAGGCTATTACTCTACCTATGATTCTTACGCCTCCATACAAAGATCTGGTAGCTCAAGCTCACAATGGTTCGGGTAAGACGACATGTTTTGTGCTTGGAATGTTGAGCAGAGTTGATCCGAGGAAGAAGATTCCACAGGCCATCTGCATCTGCCCTACCAGAGAGCTGGCTCAGCAGGTTTGTTTGCTCAGTGCATTCTTGTTCATGTCTATAGCGTTTGGAATATCAACTTGTGACTATTCGGATGAATGGAACAGAATCATGCGGTCCTTTTGAAGATGGGAAAATATACTGGCATAACTTCAATGTGCGCTATTCCGTCTGATTCTGCTAATTACATCCCAATAAATAAGCGCCCCTCGGTAACTGACCAAGTGGTGATTGGCACTCCGGGAACCATCAAGAAGTGGACATCGGCAAGAAAGTTGAGCACAAGGGACGTGAAGATACTTGTTTTTGATGAGGCAGACCATATGCTAGCTGAGGCAGGTCTTCCTAACTTATTTTTAATCTTAAGTAGGTTGTTGGTGTTAGGAGTTCTACCCTCTGCAGTTGTTGTAACAAAAATCCATTGTCATAGAGAAATCAAAATTTTTAATGAACAATTTTGTAATTTCTCTCCAACTGGACAACCTTAATTAATATATTTGCAAAACAAGAAAAAGAAGAAGAAAATTGAACCCACTCTGGGCTGATCCTAAATCATAATATCATATCGGCAACTTTAATCCCAAGTGGGATTGCCTGAAAATTATTGATGAGTTTTAATGAGAAATTTGATTAGTTTCCTATGAATATCATTTGTATGTCCTCATGATGACCTTTTGATGTGTCTCAGAAATTTTATTTTATTTTAGTAACTTTGTTCTAAGTTGTTAGTCTACTTTTATTATTCTTGTTATTTCCTGGGATTTTAAATTTTGTTGTGTATTTTGTTTGTTTTGGTACAGGACGGCTTTAGGGATGATTCTGAAAGGATTATGAAAGAGATTCAAAGAAGCAGTGGTGGCTGTCAGGTCTGGTCCTTTTAAGATGCAATTCTTTTTTTATGTTTATGATTGCGAGTTCAGATTTTTAGTGTTCTTATCCTGAATTTTGTTATGCTGGTGTTTCTATATTGTTGATTGCTAACAGTTCAGAGAACTAATACGTGAATTCAAGTAGATACTGAAAGGCCTGTAGATGCATATCGACTATAAAAAGATGCCTTCATATTGGAGTCATGCAGGCTGGTAGTTTAGATCCTTGTAATCTTACCAAATCCAAATTGAATAATGTGTTTACTATCTAAGTGTCACATCCATCTTAATATTCTTTTCTCCCTTCATCTTTCTGAATTTTCCACCATCACTTGGTTAGGTGATATCCTGATCCATATATGGTTACTTAGATATGCAAGAAACAAACATCATCAAGGTCCTTGTCCAACAGAATGCGTTTGCAGCATGATAATGTATTAACTTGTACCAGAAAAGTTGAAAATATACACAGGACTTACATAATGCCTTTCTCCCAAATCAAGGGAATGGTTGCACCTTTCTCGGTGACATGGGAACAGTAACCAGTACTTACATTTCCAAGATCATGTTGTTAAAGGTTGATTATCCTTCAACTATCAGCTCAAATTCTTGTCCAAACAAGGATTGCTTGATAAGTGGAAGAGAATCCTAGCTTATCATATTTCTTTCCCTATAAAGAACCCCGGGGACCTTAGAAATAAATACAATGACAATGGTATTTTCAAAATACAACCTATGTACCCCCTTAATTCAAAAATTGACACAACATAAATACTGAGGAGTAATTCACAGTTGACCCTTTCAATCCAGTTTCTCAAATTGGAAATAACAAATTACTGAAGCAATGCAGAGGTTATGAGATTTGGTTTCTGGCACCAATATGGTACTGTCTCTGATTCTGTTAAACTCACCTTTTTATGTTGAACCTGGTATCACAAAACATACTCTCATTCCTAGAACATCAATCGTCTCATTTCTTTAGTAGGTTCTTATATATATTATTGTTCTTTTTTGTCCTAAAGGGTTCTAGAGGTAGTGGAAATTGCTTCTAGAATAGCACCGATATTCCTGTCTGCAACTCTTTCTGTGACAGTGGGTCTATTGAAGCTTTAAGAGAAATCTTGAGTTCGTGATAAGAATCATGATGGATGCTGTACTCGTATCTCATATTTCATATGCTTTTTAACTCCATATCTAGATATTTATAGTTGCTGACTTATAATGGGAATCCTCATGAGTGTAGGTGTCACTTACTTTCTAGGGAGTGTTTCATTCTTCTGGACTCTCCAGATGATTTCTGGGTGAAGCAAAATTGATGCAGATGTTTTGGGCTTGGAATCTGCTCAATCAATAAAATCATTGATAGAAAGCAGTAGAAACTTCTAGCTCTGTTTTTTGTTGTTATCCATGGCTCCATGGCGCCTGGATTCACATGGAATAAATACATGTAAGCACTCACACTGAAATGACGAAACACGTATTCTTGGCTTAGCTAAATACAGTTCTTTTATTGAATCTTGGCTCCATCGATTAGAGTTACCTTTTTGTACAATCATTAGGTCTCTTATTTAAATTGCTTGTAGTTGTGTTTGTTTTAGTAAAATTTTAGTTGTATGATAATTTCTTATTTTAACATTGTGACTAATGCAATTTTTTAATTTAAAGTTGCATTTTTATTTGAATTTGTTGTTGATTTCTTTGTAGTTCCTTCTATTCACTAGCGTAATTTTTACCATTGTGTGTGAACTATCTCAAACTTACTGAGAGAAGAAACTTGTGACTTAGTTTGCTTTAAGGCACTATTTTTATATGTAGGCCAATAAATGGTATGGAGATCATACTAGGATATTCAATTTTTCTGTCGTACAATCTGTTGTAATCGATCTTATAATAATCTTATGGTACTATAATATTGCTATGCCGCATCCAATTAGATGTGGTTGAACTTACTGCTCTTTTTCTCGATGTCTTTTTTCTTAGGTGCTTCTTTTTTCTGCTACCTTCGATGAAGCTGTCAAGGCATTTGTATCAAGGGTAATTAAAGATGGAAATCAAATATTTGTGAAGAAAGAGGAACTCACATTGGAAAAAGTAAAGCAGTATAAGGTCCAATGTCCAGATGAACTTGCCAAAGTGGAAGTAATAAAGGACAAAATTTTTGAATTTGGACAAAAAGTAGGCCAGACAATTATATTTGTCCGTACAAGGAATAGTGCTCGCATGTTACACCAATCACTGACTGAAGATGGTTATGAATGCACATCAGTTCAAGGTGCTCTCAAACAAGAAGACAGAGACCTAATTATAAAGGAATTTAAAGCTGGATTAACCAAAGTTCTTATCACGACTGATCTCCTTGCCAGAGGATTTGATCAAAGACAGGTATTAAATTAATGTATTTACAGATAAATTTTGTTAGTTAAACTTAATAGTTCCTATGTTTTTTTTGTTCTATTGAAGGTTAATTTGGTTATCAACTATGATCTTCCGGTAAAGCATGAGAATCCATCAGAGCCAGATTGTGAACTATACCTACACAGAGTTGGTAGAACTGGTCGCTTCGGTAGCAAGGGTAATTCAATCAGTTCATCTTAATTCTAATTCACATTTAACATTAAAATTTTGAACAAGAATTTGTTCTTTGTTCATTTCATGTGCTATGGATTCATTAATTCATAGTTTGTTTGTTGCAAGTGGTTGATTTTTAGACTTACAAGTGCTCTCAAATGATCATTTTATTAGATATTCTAATACCCACATGCATCTTGCTTGGATTTGTTGATATTAATATTTAATAACAAGGTTCATCATACCGTAATGTACCGCCCACTATGGGCAATATGTACTAGTCTTGACGGGAGATCGATATTGATGATATATATTGGTTTGTTGGTACATCTCACTGTACCATATGTTGGTACGTTGGTATGGTTTGGTACGTATTATACCGACAGCCAATCGGTACACCAATATGGACCGATAAGGTGAACCATGTTTAATACAATGGATAATGGTGTGGGAAAAAAATATTCCGTATTCCTATGTCAAGTAAATAAATATATGTTTTGTTTGCATGAAGTTAGGATCTTCCATATTGATGAGCTGGTGCAGATAAACTATTTGTTACTGTAGAGTGGAATGTGATGGCCAAATTCCTTATCTGTGCATGACTATATGTCTACACACATGATTAGATCATTATTCCTCAACATCCTCATTGTTTGATTTATTTAATTGTGTTCACCACCTCTGTGTTCAATGTTCTGAAAGATGCTGTGTGGCTGCATATGCATGTGTCATATGACTGCATTGAACATGGTTGATGCAACCAACCTAAATATGCTGTGTTATATAGCTGTTTTTATGGTCTGCATAATCAAGAAAGTATGGCTACAGAATACAATGTGTTAGGAAATCAAAATACGGTTGAATATGTGGTTTTTCCAATTATTCAACTACGATATCATTTAATTATGATAAAGCGAGATATGAGATTATATAATTTTGATCATGTACGCCTTTACCTCCTGTAGATTCCTTTTCTTTTCATTGGGACAGAATGACTGTGTTTAAATTTTTACCTGTTTCTTGTAACTTGTCTCTTAAGAAATTTCTTAAATGAGAATAATTATCATTTTATAAATACTTGATTTAGCCATAGGATATATTTTGTCTGTTTATCTTTTCAGTATATTATTGTTTGTGGGTTTTTTCTCGAAATATTATATTATGAATCACATGTGTCTGCATATTAGCCACATACCATGTTATGTGCTATCTGGTACCTCAATGGATGGCATATCACAGCAGTTTTTTCTCAAGTTAGAACATTGTTACATTCTTAACAAAATTGTTCGTTTTCTATTGGAGGCAGTAAATCTAGGCAATCTGATATTTATTTTATTTTACATTTATGTACCTATGTCCCACATCTTTATGACCGAGTTATATTGCATTTCTTTTTGTGATAATTTCTATTCATTTGATAGAATGCAATCCTTTACTGGGCAAATCACATAATTTACCTTGTGTATTTTGCTGATCCTGTCTGGTAATAGGTGCTGTCTTCAACTTCTTGTGCACTGATAGGGACAGATCTGTCATGGAGAAAATAGAGCGTCACTTCCAGCATCATATTCCTGAGGTAACCTCTTTGTACTCGTTCTTCTTTATATGCACCATTTTATCTAGAAATATCTCAAGAAACATGATGACACTCCACTGTGCCGCAGATCCCTAACTGGAGGAGTGAGGAAGATTTCGAGTCTGCTCTGAAGGATGCTGGTCTGTTATAAAGCCAAGGCTCCCTAAGCACACCTATAAAATGCGAAAAGGAATTTGCAAGTTGTGCCTTGTATGATTGATATATCTTGTACTTCCGATCGGAACAATTAGAAGATTTTGTTCTTGTTTATGGCGATGGCATTCCACGCAGTCAATGCGATCTTACAACTTGTCTGATGGTGGTGTTATTAGCGGATATGGTTTGACAGGTAGACGGTCAAACCTTCAAGTTTGTTTACTCACCATATAAAATATTTTGTAGAAATTGCACAGTTGGAACAAAATGACTATTGACTTTGACATTGTTTATCAGCTATTATTTGAATTTGGTTCTGAGAGATTGGAAAGCCATTGGGCATAATAATGACTTTTTATCCTTGTATGAGCTCTTTGAAATAAATTTATTGTTTGGAGTCACTCATCCCACTAACCCATAAATTGATCAGCTTTAGGTTGTATCAGCACAAAAGTTAGTTCTTCGCCTAATCTGACCTATATTCATAGATCCTAATTTTGTTATCCTCAATTTTTTACTTTAATTTTGACATGCAAACTTGGCTAATTGATTTATAAACACAAATACTATAAATAAATAAATAAAAATACACAAACTATATAATATAAATAGTATGACACAAGGAAGATAGACTGTAACCTCATGAAGTGAGTTGGGTTGGAGATTCCTAATATTTCAATTCCTAAAAGCGCAGTGACTTAAATACTCCTACGCATCGGTTCATCGTTTCCCGCCAAAAAGTTGAAACCCAGCAATGGAGCTCCATGTTCCCGCCACATTTTTCCTAATAGTTAATCCAAACTTTCCTGTCTCGCTCGCTCGTTCGCAATGGATCCCTCTCGAATCCAACGCGTCGTCCTCCTCATCGACCTCTACCCTCTCCTCGATCTCCAAAACCCTTACTCTTACCTCTCCCCGATCCTATCTGCCGCCCGAAGGATCCTATCCTTCGCCCCCCTCGCTTCCTCCCTCTTCGCCTACAAGCTGTTCTTCTCCTCCCTCTCCCCAATCCTCTCCACCTCCACGGTCCACCGCCTCCTCGGCAAGTCCTCCACCTTCCTCTCCTTCGATTGCCCCGCCTCGACCCTCGACTCCCTCTCCCGAACCCTCGATTCCCTCCGCTCGGTCTCCGGTTCATGCCACTCCGCCGGCCATGGCTTCTCCCGCGCGCCGCTGCTGGCCAAGTCTCTCCTCCAGCTCGAGCACGACTACGGCTGGGAACCCCATCATCAAGATCGCAAAGGTGCGCAGGAATTGCTCGCTATCCGTCCGAATCTGGTCGTGCTGTTCTCTCCTATGTACCCAGGCCCAAACTTTTTGTCGGAACATGTCGATTTGGAATTGGCCGGCGAGTCGGACTCGGCGATGTCGTCCGATGCGTTCTTAAAGAGGTTCTTGGAATGTTTTGGTTTGGTAAAAGAGCGATTGGCCTTTTGTGATATCCATCTCAGTTGGGTCGACGTCAATTTTGACCACCATTGCGAAAGAGATGTTTCCGGCTCGGAATTTTTCGAGAGAGGGGTCAGGGAGTTGGGTTGGGGGTTTTGCTCCACCGATGCAATCGTTCTGGGATCTGCGCTGGTGCCTTTTGGCCTGGTTTTCCCTTACATCGGATGCGCTATGGGTTTTGCGGCGGATAGTGGCCTCAACAAGGGCACGTCAGAGCTTGTTCTAGAAATCGTTGATGTTTATGGGGAGCCTTTGGAGTGCAAAAGTTGTGAACTTGAAGTACTTGATCTGAAACCAGTCCGAGAAAGATCAGACATGACGGGATCTCTGTTAAAATTTTTGGGCAGCAAGACATCAAATATCCGCATTAGAGAAGTGTGGAGAAGCGACGATGGAAGAAAGGTTATGAGCGACCCAAGTAATCTTTATCTTATTCGAGGAACTACAGGAGAATGCAACAAAGTTTCAAGGAATCATGCTAAAGGAGAGTTCTTTGCAGACAGTGTTCTCAAATTGCTTTGCAGAGAGAAGGGTGAGTTGGTTGCAGATAAGCCTCTTTGGCAGATCCTTCTCACATTCCTCTACAACAAAAGCTACTGGGCTTCTGTATCTATTTACGACAGTGATGATAAATCTATGGAGGGCATGCTAATTCCTTTTACGGTTAATTATGCTTTACTTGCTGTTCCCCAAAAGAATTCTCTGAACTCATGCCAATTAGTTGCTAGAAAAAGCAGAAGCACATCTGAAACACTCCATACTCCTGCACTTGCTGGGTCGAGAGAGGACAGTAGAAGGAAAAGAAAGAAATTGCATTTAAATCAGATTCAAAATGCCACATTGAGTTCCTTCCGTGAATTGGTGTCAAGTCAAACAGATGATGTTGCTTTAGGAGTTGGTCTGGAGCAACTATACTCTGGCAAGATACATGACAAATCGAAGAAATTAATGTTCTTGAAGTGTTGGATGAGGCAGATTGTAAAGTCCAATACTAATTGTGAAGTAACTCTTGATGAACAGAAGGAACCTTTGGATATCAAAGAAGATGTGGAAACAAGAAATGTTGCCTCACAAGATGCGTCTGAAGCAGATGCCATTCCTTCCTCCACTGAGGATGCTCATCAAAGTGCATCATCTGCAAACAAGGATGCCCCATTATTTTCTTGCGTGGAAGACATGGAAACTTTCTTGAGAAGTATTCCTCAGAAGATTGAGCAAGGTCTGTGTTCACTAGATACAGATATCGGAAATTTAGCTGGGCGCCTAGTCGGTTTGTCTATTAGAGCTCTTGATGCACAGATTGGAAAGAATGTCGAGGATATCATCTCAGATGAAACTGGCGATGCATCTTATGTGAAGATTGTTGATGAGGTTTCTCGTCTTCTTCTGGTGAAGCCCAGGGATCTAATATTGAAGTACAAAACCACAAATCCTGCACGTATTGCATCATCAAATCCAGTTTTTGATATATACAACACAGAATACAAAATTCGAGAGTATCCTTCTTTATGTTATGATTTTGAACTGCAAATTTTCATATTTGGCACCAGTTTATCCCTTAATGCACTTAAGACATGAGTTGCAGATCTTGTTTAGAATGGAAATACTTTGTTCGAGTGTCGGACCAAGCATTGAAGATAATACAAAACAGAAGATGATTAAAGATATATGCTCCCTTTTGCAGTTTATTGACATCAATCTGGAAGGGGATTCATTTTGTGGTCAAAGTATTGTTGAGTTTGCAGAAAGAACAATAAAATGCAGGTACTCTTCTTGGCATATCTAGCATTGTTATAATAATGCTAAATTGTGAATTTTTTTTATTATATAGATTCAAATCTCCCCATAATATTAATTCTGCTTTTCTTTTTCTTGGACAATCAAAGTGGTTGATCCTTGTTGTTCCTGTTAATACATTTAGCATTGCATGAAAACTTACCTGTCTTTAATGTCCATTATTCTCTGCTCCCAATGATGTCCGACTCTTAGGTCTTGTAATTGCTCCAGCACGATAAGCTTAGCAAACATGTTTTATGAATCACATTGTAGATATCCTGGTTATCATTTCTCATTGATCTGGAGCAATATTACATGAAGTGGACTTCAATTTTTTCTAAAGGTACAATTTTAATTGAATCTGGAAGTAGTAGTATATAAAAAGAGTAACTCTGAACATGTATTATTACCTTTAGTGATCTTCAGTCCCTGTAATAAGAAAATGGTTACACCTATATATTGATCAACCATAGGGAACAGTGAGATTACAAGTGGAAAGAACCCGGACAGGGTTTCTATTTGGTTGAAAGTGTGTTTCTTGGTCACCCAAATTTCTTGCAAGCCACTATGATCAAATTTTCACATCTGACCAATCTTGAGTATTGCAGAGAATGTTAGCTCTTTGGCAACATCTTGTAGCTGAAAGTATGCCTTTCCTCTGCACTTGGTTTTTATAACATGACAAGCTTTTTTATAGAAAAATAGTTTGTGTGTGATGCTAAATTTATGTTTTACCTTCACAAAGTTGCAAGTCATGCTTTTGTAAAGCCTAAGAAATTTTCATACATCCCTTTTACATCACTGGAGACAATCTAAACCCAAATTAACTGTCAACCAAATATTAACAGCCAAAACTATCATTTTTATTTTGCTAAATATATCCCCATCATTTCCTCTCAGTCACTTTTTCTGGTCCATTTCCCCTACTCTCTTACCTGTCTTCCCTTTCCGTCTCCCTCTTTTCCATTCTCAACTGCTACCATGTAATACTTAAGCTTTGGCATATATATGGCTTGGGATCGAGCAAGTTCGAGCACGGAAAGATTACTGAGAGCACCGGTTGTGATGGAGATAACTGAACACAAGCATTTCCCATGAAGAAGAAGAATATGAACTGGTAGAAGAATGAGAGGGCAAGTAAAAGGGGTTCTATGAGTTGACTGTTGACAACATAAAGGATAACGAGAACATTACAAGGGTTAACAGTTCCTTTTTTTTTTTGAATTTGGCAAGGTTATGCATGCAATTGATCATATCTTCTTTTAATATCTGTAAAAACTTCTCCAAGTAATTGTTGTCATTAACTTTTTCCATCGCCAACCCTTTGCAGGTACTCTCATTCTCTAAAAGACGTCATTGATAAGATATACAACCAAATGGAGTTTGGCTTATTTGATGAGGATGAAGTTGGAGCTTCAGACTCATTACCCAACAGCAACAGTGAAGACTTCAAGAGGGGGGACTTTGACATTGGCAACAGATTTCCTACAGATCCAATCGGAGCTGCTGGTTCTGAAGTTGGTCATCAGGAAATGTATGCCAGGACACAGCAAGAGAAATTGGATAATGCGCACGAGCGAAGACTAATGAAAGCACAGCAAAGAAGGAACAGAGACAGGAGGTTCTCATCATTCACAAGCTGGGTGCCGGATTTGCAGAGGGTATGGGCGCTGAAGCAGCCAAAGGCAGAAAGATTGATGCGTTCTTCATTGCCCAAGCCACTGAAACGAAGGAGACGTCATTCCTCCACCGATGACAGGGTTTGCGAGACTCCGATGATGGATCGAAAGGTTCAATCACAGTCCCAGGAGGATGCTTGTGGCGGTATGAACCGTTCCAACCCGTTGTCCAAGGCCTTGTTTCGCATTGAAGGAGAACCTGGTTCTGGTGTCTGACGCAACCATTACTATCTGTGACATTTATGTTCTTCGTATGACTTGTCCTGTATATTAAGGGTTCAGAGAAGGATCGTCTGATGATTCTTTTATCAAATGATCAGATTATCCAGTGTTGTACCTAAACGATTCAAGTTCATATAGCACAAACAATTTACTGAGGGCTCTAAACAACTCCAATGTTTTTTGGGTTTGTGATGCTGTCCATGTGCTGCCTTTGCTCGTTACAGAGAACATTGCGAATGTAAGTTTGGGGGTGCCAATTATCTTTCTCATGACAGGAGCATATGATGATAATGATGATGAAATTTGGAAGAATGATATTTTTGGTTTCATTAACGAATATAGTGCCTGGATATATCAAGAAATTAGATTTTGTTGGCATAGAAAAGGACAAAAAAACAGCTCTAGAGGATTCATGCAGTTCTAGAAAAGTGGACTTGAAGTTAAGGTTGTGGTGATTACCGAGAATAGCTACTGATACTTGCAGTGTATCCAAATGAATCATACTAGCACTGAAGTTACTCGTGTTTGGACAAGAGTAATACTAGGTAAGTTGTCTTGTTGCACTCCTTTTAATCTCTTCGGAGATGTCCAATAAAATTGGAACGATACAGAGAATTAATCAATTGCAGCCTACTTGAAACAAGAAAACAGGCACTGAGAGTATTGTGTATATCTGATACTTGAAATAAGAAAAAGATGTCAAAACAAAACACAATTCCATACACTTTGAAGCTCCACTTGGATCCAATAGTCACACTGGACAACAATAAAAGAAACAATGATTCTCATATGCAGAAGAACATCAGGATTGAGAAGACTTTTGAGAAAGATCAAGTTAATCAGACAATTGTTTTCATTGAATTTCAAACCCTCAGTTGTCAAAAACATATAGATTTTCAAGGTGATGATGGGAAAACAGTTCAGGCTGATATCAATATTTAGTTACAGAAGAAATCATCTACAAAACTGAAAGACTTCTGCCCGCACATAGCAAAATCTGATGGTTTGTCATGTTTCATATTTTGTTTGGTATCGATATCAACAGGTATGAGTGCAATTACAAAGATGTATTATCTCCACATCAATATCCAGGGGTCATAGAATGCCAGTTATCGAACGGAAGGATAAGCAATACTTAAGACTGCAATGACATTGTGGAAGCCTGCTTGATGGTCAATTCAGCTCTCAGGTGAACGATGCCATCGATAAAGAAGAGGCTATCCTCCGCCATAAATAATGTCCAAGGGATGCTGCCTTCCCACCTGTCCATGTAGACGGTTGTAGATTAGAAATATAAATGAAAAAAACTCAGGCACCTTTTTTTCCCCCTTATATAATGCAATAATTTGCTAAAATTAATAAGAACAATTAAGATACTCACTACACAAGTATTCACAACTAGTACATATAAACCTCTAAGAGTGAAATCCAAAATGTATGAAGGGATACCAGAGTGAGAGACAAGCCGAATCATCATCCTTTGCTCTTCATAGTACCTTCCAAAAGAACCAAAGAATGTATCAAGTTGATATCTGGTGCATATCACTTGCTTCTTTTCATTGCCTTATTCCACCAACAATTGAACCTCTTGAGGCTCTCAGACCATCTTGCTCTACCTCTAACCTTGCTTCAAGAAATCTCCCTTCAATGTATTCTCTTATACATCTGCTGATTTCGCTAAGGATATAGATATATCAAGATCTGCAGACTTGTGCTGGTCAATGCAATCTGGATTCAAACATGATATATTTGAACATATCATGATCAACCTTAGAACATACAGAAATTTCTGAAAAGTTCTTCACAGAATAAGCAATTAGGTGGTCTAACCCACACTGATGATTCTGCTACGTATGCATGTTCTTTGAACCTTCACAAGCATTAAAGTAAACAGCAACTTGAGCTTTGCTAATTTCGATCCGATCCACTTCTATTCCTTCAGACTTGGAGTTATCGTCTGGATGCTTAACCTGCGATCTGTTCAAAAACTGCATTTGGCCTCCACCACCCGAATTAGTTTCATCCTTTTCTTCCATGCACTGTTTATGCAAGTTAGATGAGATCTTTTTAGTGCTCTAAGAATGTAGATCTTCTGGAAAACATGGCAGTGCTAAGTATAGTGGTCAAAGAAGATAAGTAGATGAGCTACAAAGCATAGCTAGCAGTTGCAAAACTTTTCATCAGAAATTAATTGTAAAATGATGAATGAAGATAGGATATTAAGATCGTCCATAGATCTTACTTTTTTACATGGTGACCTTGAGGTGGAAATCTGTGATCAGAATTCTTGCATAACCGAAGGAAATTTCCCAGTTACCACAGCTAACCTGCTTAGTGTAACATGTAAAATAGTTCATTTAAAAGAACAATATTGTAATATCAGACACTGCTGCTAATATAGATAGTTTACGCTGACTGAATATTTGTGTTAAAAGGACCAACGATAAAAAAAACTCGGCAACAGAAAGATTTTTTTTTTATCTTCCAATTTGGAAAACAAGGAAACAAAAGATAAATGGAAAACTCTTGGTAAAGTTAATCGACGGTCAATGAGACTCAGAAATCTGCTGCCTAAAAATGCTGCACTAGAGCATGAAAAATGCTATTTGGTGTACTACTTATACAAGTCATCCATGGGAATATTGCTTTTTTTTGCTCTTTTTATGCATTAGCTAACTTAGTTTGGAGTATTCTAGATTATATACAATCAAAACAGTGGAATAAGAAAGAATAACAAAAGACAAAATACCATCAACTTCATCTCTATGCAACAGAACAGAGGCATTTCCAACACAACAGTGGCAAACATTGTGTGGGGGCTTTCTTACTGTCAAATTCCTCAAACTCAAGGGTATAACAGAGGCCTCATCAAATAGATATAACTTCATAAAGTTGGCAAGAACATCAGAGATGTGGCCTTGAGAACAAGGGAAAAGAAGGTGTCAGCACAGCAAACGAACTTGTCAGAGATCAAACCTCATGGTTCCAAAGATCAGGAACTGTGTTCTGACTCCATCTAACATCATAGATCCAGGAAGCAACTTGTTGAACAAGATGGTTGTACACATTACATTCTACCAGTTGCAGACCCTGAAGACTCGAACCATTACCAGAGTGACATGAGAATTTGCTTCCGAATCCTAAAATCCATTTCAGAACTTTTACTAATATATACCCCAGATTCATCAGAAAAAAGATACTCCAAAATGTTCCTGTGCTAAATCAATGGTATCTTTTAGCCATCAACATAAACAGGCTTATAAAATTCCACTATAACTCTTAATTCAACCACGAAGTCTGTTTCAGGGACATGTATGTTCACAGACATTTCCTTTTCACTCTCTCATGCACATAAACTCTACATTTTGCAAATTCAATCTACCTTCCTCCTCATCATGCATTGAAATGAAAAAGAAAAAGAATTGTTCCCAGAGTACTCCAACTACAGGAAAAGAAACAATCCAATGTTTGTTCAGACATTAAGAGTAATTGCTTCCACAGATCAGTTTCCCGGATATAATAGGTTGATGTGGAAAGAACACAAAGAGAATTCATACACTTAAAAGTTAGTCCGCTAGCTGAAAGAATAAGTGAACCCCAGGTAAGTTAGTTAACGGTCTTTCATCATAAAGCCTTTCTAGGAGCATTTAGTTGAAAGAAGATTCTGCAATCTATTCTATGCTGTACTTTTCCATCACCTAAAAGTAGCACAACCGCCATGGCTACAATTGGCTATCGAACTCGTCTACGGGTAGTGGCAGACTAATTAGGTCATGACAATTATTTATTGCAGTGTCCAGCTGCAAGTGTTGACCTTGGAGAGTCGATTTATGATTCAGCAGGCAATAAATGGAAACCTCCAGCCACCGAAGGCTACCACCATGCCTAAAGCACGACAGCTACCGAAAAGAACAGTAAATTACCTACCAAAAAGAACACAAAGAGAATGATTCAGAGCCCCGCCCTGAACTGCCCCTTCTCTAAACCTTTGCCCCAACAGCTGCCACACAGCTGTAATTCTTTAAAGCCAGAGGTTTCCCCCCGTCAAATCAAGGAATCCAAAACACCGCCCACTAAAAGGTGACGCCTTTTCTGACACGAGGAGGGGTCATGGACACCGCCCAACCTAGGTTTTGCGGATCCACGTAAATCCCACAGAGATGGTGAGATCAGGCCGAGCGCGCTGACAAGATTTAACAGAATGGCACGCCAAGATTCGATCTTGGACGGGCGAAAGCGACATGAAATCCAATAAATGAATGAAAAGCCACGCATCGAAGATCGAAAGGAGGATGCGACGAGGACGTACCGATGGCTGGTGTCGCGAGGAGGACGGCGACTCGATGAGGTCATCGGACGAGGGGAGCGGATCGAGATCGATGTTGCTTGCTGTCGACGTCTTGTAATAGGGCGGAATCGACGGAGATTGGTTTTGGGGTTACGCCACGCCTCCGCGGCGGTCAAACCAATTGCGCTTATCCTAACAAAAGGGGCGTATTTTTTACTCACATCAAATTATAACATTTATATATAAATAAAAAGAATAATATTAATGATTTATATAAAAATATTTTTTTTATTTTTTAGAGTATTTACATAACATTCTTTTAAAGATATTTATTATTATTATTATTATTATTATTATTATTATTATTATTATTATTATTATTATTATTATTATTATTATATAAATTGACAATTTTAAATTTAAAGGAATACATTTAAAAATTAATAACTTTGAATATACAAATATATTAATAAGTTGGAGATTAAGAGAAACTTTTTACTAATTTATTGATGAATTCTGGACATAAACTCATTCTGGAGAAAAAAAAAATCCCTAAGTCAATGAGAAGTAAATGTCAAATATCCCACAATAAATTAGGATTATGAGGTGATCTCCTATATTACCATCAAAGTTAATAGCATTAAGCTCTTAAAAGAAGAATCAAGTAAAGAAATAACTCTCTCTATTTAGGAAGAAGAGATCTCTTTACTGTGGGATATTTGGCATTATAATAAGACAAGCATTAAGCGTGGTGGATTCTTAGAAGATGTGAAGGTCTACTGCACAAATTAGATAGAGGATTGATGTACAGCTAAGGCTTTTGATCGGATGAAGCTTCCATGTTGGCAATGTCACAGGTAATGAGTTCATAAGAATGTTTTGGACCATATATGAAACCTCCAAGAGACTGCTGAGATCAGTGCCCAAAATGGACAGCAAAAGACAAGATTCAATAGCTTAGAGGAAGAAGAAGAAGAAGGAGGAGGAGGAGGTGCATTGGGTGCATCAGATGTGGTTCATGATTGGCCATGACTCCATGGTACTTCGGCAAGCAAACTCACCAACCACTTGGAAGCTTTTCCTTTTTCTTGGTTGGAAAGCTTCTGTCTGCTGCATCAGTCTGCCAACGCAGAGGAGGCAGCTCCCATCACAACTCACAGCTAGTAGTAGCAGTACAGCCATGCATCTCTTCTTTTAATAGCTGGTAATGGCACTGTTGAGGTGTGAGGGTGGCAGGGACAGTGGCCAGACCTGAGCCACCGGCTGACATCCATCCCCCTGACTTGAATCGGACAGAGCCACACAATTCCAACAGAACCCTGATGGGGAGTCACAAGAATGGATGGTTGTTCCTCTTCACTGTGCCATTTCCATGCAACTCCTCCACCCTCCTCCCCTGAGCCTTTTCACTACTCTGTTCAACTCGAGTGCAGCTTAGCTTGTCTGGTTCTTGTTGGATTTCTCACGATCAATTCCAGGATTCAATGTTGCTCCTTTCTGCTTTGACCAACATCTGAAGTAATATCCCAAGCACAACCTCCATGGAAAGATTGGATTTTTCCACACAGGAAGGCATTTGGATATCCAATAACATTGTTTGGTTCTCCAAACTGGCCATGTCTCCACCAAGAACTCACAACACAGGAACTCATGGGGGAGCAAATTGTTGTCATAGTTTGTGTCAGCTTATACAACCAACCAGTTTGCAGGGAGCTATCAGATCATTAATGAGATGATCCAATTGGTAATTCAATCACGGAGAGAAAATCTAACATAAATGGCAGATCATTTCTTCTTCAAAAGAAGAAGAAGAAGAAGAAGAAATCCGTACTGAGAAGCCAAGAGATGTCACGAAGACAACACAAGCAAAACTGTGTGTTGGATATGAAGCACATGAACTGTTTCAACTGGTTGGTTTCTTGCTCTGATCTATAGATAGAACATGAAGTCCAACACAATCTATATGCTGTGTGAGCAAAATCAAGTAGACGACATGATCGATCATTTCCACGAGCAATCTTTTCCATCAAACAAAACATTTCATATGAATCTTTCAGGCCCCCAATGAGATCTTTCTTGCCTTCCAAGAGAAACAAAAACTATACCAAAGGGCAAAGCAATGAGCGAAAGACATCAGGAAGCCACCTCGAGCCTGGGCTCGAAGCAGAACCCGGTGAAGAGCTGCAGGGGGAACCTCTTCGTGACGGGGCTTTTCGTCGACCACTTCCACAGCTTCTGGGCCATGTCGAACGTCAGCAGAGTTGGGGAGCCAAAGCTCTGGATGTAGATGAGGTCATCGGCGCCGCTGCTGGCGAAAACGTCGTCGAACTCACCGAAGCCCTGGAAGAACTTGTGCGGCATTCGAGCCACCTCTCGCCACTCCTTCCTCCTGTGCAGCTCCCAGATGCCGATCCCCTTGATGATGCCCGGCCGGTCGTGCTTCCCGATCCCGCCGACCATGACCAGCCTGTCTCGGAGGTTCATCAGCCTGCCGCAGGTCAGCGAGCATGGCACGGAGATGGCCATTTGCATCAGGGATGTGCGGGAAGGTCGGGCCGAGAGGTCGTACATCACCAAGCAGTGGCGCGACTCAACGTTCCTGAGCACGGCGGTGGAGTAGACCAAGCAGTAGAGGACTCCATTGCAGATCACGCACTCGTCTCCTCCCCTCCACCCCACCAAGACCTCGGTGAAGGGGGTCACCCACGATCTGGCCTCCGACTCGTAGATGTGGACGGAGAAGTCCCACTGGTAGTAATCCTGGGGCACCTGCTTGCACTTGGCGACGGCGACGGTGTAGCCGTGAGTTCTCCGGTCCACCGACATGGCGAGCGCGCTGTAGTCTGGGGCTCTCTCGCCGGGGGCGTCGTGCAGCCGCTTCCAGTCCCTCGTGATGGGGTTGCAGACGAAGATGCGGCTCCGGTTGTCCCCGTCCATGAAGCAGACCAGCCCACAGGAAGAGGAGGCCGACCAGTTGCTCTTCTCAATGCAAGGGAGGTCGAAGCTGTACCACTTCCGGAGGCTCGGGTCGTAGGCGTAGCCCGAGACGGCGTCGTCGCTGCAGGTGAACATGAAGTACCATGGCTTCTGTGGCGACATCTTGGTCCATGAGTACCTCCCGGAACGCACGGCGTCGTACCACCGCCTGCAGACTGAGCTCGATCGGATGATGCTCGCAATGGGCAAGAAGGACAAAACCTTCTCCAAGAGGTCATCAGGCAGGATGGCGTCCAATGAAATCAATGCGTCTTCGTCTCGGTTGTCACTGTCTTCGGGGAGTGGCTTAAGCCCCCCAACCTCGCCCCGGAAGTAGGTAACGGGATAAGACTCCTCCCATGATCTCTCACCCGCCATGAGGAAGATGAAACGGGGCGACAAGATCAAACTGCACAGCACGGAGAACAGCGGAACTAAAATTGAGATGGTAAAAGAACCAACTTCGAGTCAGAGAAATCCCGAGAAAGCCTCGAACGCGATCAGGACGCAAGTAAAACAGCAAGAAAAGATGGATTTCCTGCGAGATCAACGAAACAACACACAACATCTTCTTCCACCGTGTTTTGCCAGCATAATGACGCGAAAAGGTAGCGTGCAAGAAAGACCAACGAAACACTGATCGCTTCGGACGGCTGTTGGAAGAAGACAAAGTGCGGCCGAGACAGAGCCAAAGCCATTCACATTATCAAATCATCGAACACCTACACCACCTCGCCGGATTTGCCAGGGCATCGCATCGCATCGAAACAAAAGAGCCAGACATCACGGAGCAAACGAACATGGAGTTTCTTCCTCCGGTAAGAATCCGAAACATGTAACACTCCAAAACCAGCATCAATCAAAACATAATCCAACAGCAATCGACAGAACCAGAAAAAAATCACAGAAAGAACCGGGAAAAATGTCATCTTTTTGCTGCCCAAGATCAGAGGCAAAGCAAAGAAGAGCACCTAAAAAATCCAGACTTTCTATCCTTATCTGAAACAGTTCACTCCTGCATCGCCTGGGATCAAGAGAAGAGTGCTCCTACATCTCCTTCGCGCTACAGTGGAGTGGACAGGGACAGGACAACCAATGAGCACCAGGATTTACTCGAGATAAGGACCGGTGAAGAAGAGGAACACACACGGAACAGATGGAACAGTGGGCTATGTTTCAAGAAATAAGGGAAGCGAGAAAGAGGCAGGCATGACTATGTAACAGAGAGGAGGAGAGGAGGGTGGAAGAGGAAGGATGGGCTGCATCACTGTCCTGTGGTTGTGACCAAATACACACATATATATACACCTCTTTTGGATTGAAGCAGAAGCTTGTTTGGACTCATTTAAGGAAATGATGGTTACATTGCTGGACCCCAACCTTTAGCCTTCAGATCTCATGAGCTCTCGAATTCTCCTTCCAACCTCACTGTGCTTATTATTATTACCTTTTGGGTGGAAATGATGGAGAAGGCAACCATTTCTTTTCCTCCTTTAAGTTTCAGCACCGAGGATGATGACACTCAGAGTCCTCCTTCTTCTTATCCTCTACCCCTCCCCTATGGTAAATGGGGAGAAGGTAGGGTTGGGTGCTTTCTTTGATTGGTTGAGGCGCCATTGGTCCTCCTCCTTTTGCCTGACCTCATGCCACTACATTGCTATGTGGGTGGGTAGTCATCACTTGCTTGTCATTTGTTTGTATTTGCATGTATACTCTTCTTTCAATCTAATATGATAATTTGAATATCGATGATATCTTGATTGGTTCGATTTGATTTAAGTTCAGTTGAATAAGAAATCGATTGTGACTCAGGAGAATACTCGAAAACTGATGTAAATTCGAACACTCGTCTCGAAGTTGAGGGCTCCTGACGTCACCCGCTCTGAGACAACGACTTCGTCGTCATCTGACCCAACATACTTGGCCGAGGCAGAGGAGAACGACGACCAAGGCACGCCCATGCCCTGCGGCAGTTCGGTTCTTCACGCAACAGCAACGGTAATATCATACGCCATCAGAGGTACGATCCTGCCCCTGTAGACAGGCACATCAGGTAACACTAAATTTCCCTATAAATACTCCGGAGTTCCAAACGATAGGGGACGAACGACAAACTCCACTCCACATCATCTAACTTGATCGTCGGAGGGGTCGGGCCGAGCCTCCCACCCGACCTGTGTGTAGGTAAGGGGACGAGGCGATTTCCCCGGG